TGAGAAGTACCTGAAAATACCTTACTGTACTAAACATGTATAAAAATCAATCAAAATTAATTAATTAATAAATACAACAATAAAGAAATTGTCATTTGAATAACTGCAATAATATAAAAACAGTAAAATACCAAATTATAATAAAATTCAGTGTTACGTCAAAGATAAAATGTTAAAAATAAATTTCGCTGAAAATACTTCATTACTGCAATTTCATAAAATAAAAATAAATCAAATTTAATTAATTAAAACATACAACAATTTAAAAAATGTCATTTACAAAACTGCAATAATATAAATAAATTCATGAAAATACCAACAATATAATGAAATTCAGTCTTATGTCAAAGATAAAATGTTCAAAGGAAATGTCACTATTGGCAAGTGAATCAAATTATTATAAAATTAAAACTAATTGAAAATGATTTCTTTTATATTTATAAAAAAAAACCAACGTTTCGGGTCCTTTACAGGCCCATGGTCAGGGGCTGAGTAAGTACTAAACAAGAAATATACGCGATTCGGACCCGAAGAATAGTTTAATAAATAGTTTAATGCGTAACAATTTTTTTCATTCATTAAATTTCATCACAAAATTTCATTCAATAAAAATCAATAATATTATTAATCATGTTTGGAGAGTTGTTGGTAAAACAAGAAATGAATAGAGTGTATGTTTCGTTGCAGAGGGTGGCGGGTATCGAGCGAGAGGGCGCGGCGCGTGGCGGGAGCGCGCGCGGCAGGTGACCGACGGCGCTCGCGGCTCATGTGGGCGGCGAGCGCGTGCTGCTCGCGCCAGGCAGGTGAGCATCTTCACTTCACATCCAGGTGAAGGCTCACATTGCACGGAGCAAAATCGAAGCTTTTTTGTAACCATAACATAATGAACTTTAGGTCAATTATGTAACCAGGTTTCAAAGTGATAATTGTCATTGATAATTATCACCATAATTATCATTGATAATTATCACCAATATTATCATTGATAAGTAGGTATACCTTGATAATTATATTGCTATTTGTAAAATTACTTAGAATGCTACTGCCATTGATAAATGTCGTGGCATGTGTTTGTATCCGAGACGTTTATTCCCGTTTCAAAAGTGTATGTATAACGTACAAACCAGTTCTACTCAGCCGTTGTTCTTACCTTTGATATAATTAACTTAACTAATTTAATTTTATAATTAATTTAACTGCCTCCGTGGCCGAACGGTTACCAAGCCGGACCGCCACGCAGAGGTCCCAGGTTCGATTCCCCGGCCGGAAGAAATATTTGTATGGCCTACATTTATTTCTCTCGTGAGTTTGGGTGTAATTTGTGGTTGTCTATGTGTGTGTCCATGGCACCCGCGACACAGGGTTTCCCTAGTGCGGGGCTATGTTGAGTTTTTATTTATTTATTTAAAATTCCAGTATGATTAAGCTACTCAGATTAATTGATTTTATGCAGGTTGATTTGTTTGTTAATAAATGCCACAAAATCATAAAAAAAGCTTTATCATGTAGATTCAATAAGGGTCAGTACAAGCTTTCACAATTTTTTTTAAATAGACAGGCCAATGACATAGAGTTCATTATGTGAAATATTCATAGGAATTTCAAAATTCGCTTTCATTCCGTTCCGTGTAAATTGAGCCTGAGAGTGAGACCGTGTTCTCCTTTGATATATATAATAAACGTCACAATGAACGAACGTTCAAAGTGTCAAAATCAAAATGTTAAAGTTATTCACTTTGCACTTTTTTTATTAAAATTTGAATAAAAATTATCATCAAACAATCCGGTTGTCGATCGGGTAGCACCTTATTTGGGAGTTGCTTGACATTGAGGTTTCATTTATTTAAATTATTAAAATGAGATACACTAATTGAAAATGCACCTCGTTTTAAGATTTTAAGGTTATTCCATATACCGAAACCTGTTATTGAACATTTGACACTCGGATCGGAATGAAGCTGTATACACAAGATAAAAGAGTAAAGGACAACTAGAACTGAATTTTGATATATTTCGTTCTACCATCACTATACAGTAGTCATAATTATATTATAACGATGCAATTACAACATATCCAATATAGCGTCGCAAGAATAATAACATGTTATCTGGCAGGTGGCATTTTTAAACACTTGAGAAACGTTGTCCAATTTGCAATAATCACTGTAATAAGAAATAGCAAGTGAATTTTTGTATAAAATTTCTTTGATGTTTATACCTCTATTTTGTAATCGCATGAGTGCTGTTACTACGCCCTACGTGCACTATCACAAAACTGCGTTTGAGATTTGTATTTAGTTGCTTTTGAGTTATTTACATGATGTCTGTGACGTATACATTCAATTCCGCTATAATATTTTGTACGGTTGTGTTGTGACCATACATGTAAAACATTATCTGGTTTTAAACTAGGGAGTTCCCTGGACTATGAGTACCAGAGCAAGAGATTTCACTCCAAAGCACTACTTGGAACACCCAGACCAGAGCCAATTAAGAAAAGTTCATTTCTCAAATTGTTTCTAACGTCCGGAATTGTCCGGACACGTCCGAATTTTTGACCTACTGTCCGGATTTGTCATTTGACCGGATATTTTAAACCGTATACAGAATAAAAAATAAAATATCCACCTCGAAAGTCTGTAGTAAAATTCAATGTACGACAAACATTTTGTTGCTGGGGCGCTTGTCTGCTGCTACGTGAGAGAGATTTTCGATTTTATTTTGTTACTAAAAAGTCCGAACTTTTTTGCAAATGTCAGACTTTTGTCCGGACTAACCCGGGACCTTCTCATCCAACGCCGACAGTGCAAACAGTTGAGTTACAGTGGTCGTAAAAAAATGGCAAATTAGGAATAAACCAAAGGAAAATATAAGTATTAGTCATAGAAATATTCACCTAGGTATGTTCATACGTCATATCCTGGACAGTTTATGAGTAAAGTACGGTTGTTTGTTTTTAAAACTATATTGTGTATAGTTTTCTCACTTTCCAGATTTAGTTCCGATAAAGATTATGAAAACAATGAATGCGGGTGATCACTGGCCGGCTGCCAATAGCCAGTGGTCTCCACTCGTGAATTAACTTTGCGCCCATACAGGTTCAAGGTCAGGGTATTCAGAGCTTTAGAACTTTGACGAGTTTAATCTGATTAAATTGTGAATGTCAGAATGTTCTTTCAGAATATTTAGGGTTTGAGCATTATATTTGACACTAGCTAAATCTTTCTGCTCATCGCTTAGGGCGCCTTCAAATTAGACGCTTACAGAATAGCGCCCCTGTAGCACTCTACAGTGCTACAGCGGTGCCAATACTAATTTTCATAGAACATTTAGAATAGCGATGCGAATGATTTCGATATTCGACTTGTTAGTAATTAATTATTAAAATTAGTAACCTACTAATTTTCGTATTCGAATGATCTGAATGATCTCTCATTACTAATTAGTATTATTAATCCACAGATTCCATAGAGCATTTCTGTACTTTTAAATGTGATTCGCGCGATAAATCTCAATGGCAGTTCCGAATTCATAGTGCACTTAGGGCTAGGCGTCACCTGACGCAGTGATTGGTTGGTAGCTAGCAGGCACTCATGCGTGAGCGTGACGCTATCCGTGGGGTGGCAGGCGAGGCCGCCGCCGGCGCGGCGAGGACGCCGGTCAAGACCTTCCAGGCCTACCTGCCGCCAGCGCACCGCACCTATAGCTGCATACACTGCCGTGCGCATCTGGCCAGCCATGACGAGCTTATATCAAAGGTGAGCAGAGATCACAATGGACTACTTTTCCAAAAGTATAGTATGGTAACTTTATACAAACATAGCATCGCAGCTTGCATGTGTAAGCGCCTACCACGCGCCGTGTACGGACGCACACATTCGCATTATCTCGCGATGCACTCGCGTTGCATGACACTGGTCGTCCCAACGCGCCTTTCAATATTATGTACAAAGCGCGCGGTCGTCGCGCACTCATACTTACAACCTGCGCTGTTACTTTGTACGGAGTTACCATATTTCTAACTGTTGTAATTGCGAGGTTAGTGGGGTCTAAATATGGCCAACAAACCGAAGTCTGTTTGGCCGAGCGTCGATCAACAACTCGTGAGAATGCCTCTTGGAGAGGCGAAATACCTATCGAGTGTCTTTTTGGTGGTATAGTTGCGCTTGTGTCATTATTTTTATTAATTTTTGATGCAATAAATACTCATCACAAGCGCAGCTACTTTGTACGATATAACCTTCACTGAGTTCACGGAGTAATAAAGTAATTAAATTCTATTTTTATTAACATACAAGTCCGCAAAGTAACAACTGAACATATTGACGACTTTTCCATCTACGACTCAATTTATATTGCGGCGGAACGGAATGGAAGCGAATTTTCGTAACGATATTGTACATAGCTAAATGAACTTTATGGTCAATTGTGTAACGTACAAAGTAGACACGAGAATCACGTCGCGCGTCTTCTACGGAATTCTCGCGCATGCTCGAGAATGCTCGCCCATTCGCGAGAATTCCGCAGCTGATGTCGGCGACGTCTGGCGAATCCGAAGGAAATGGCGCGAAGGCCGGCGCAGCATGACGTCAAACGTCGACGAAATACTGCAGCCTTAAGGCGCTGTCGCAAGAAAGCTCGCAAAGGCTCGAGCATCATAGAGACCGCGTGCGCCTTCCCGCGCAGCGTGACGAAATTGACGTTTCCGTTCCATTCCGTTCCGCCGCAATGTAAATTGAGCATAAAGCCCGATAAGAACCAGTTCGCTCCAGGCAATATCGTATCGTCTTCAGATGTACTTAGCCGACCAAGATAAGGTTCGCGTCGTCTAATAGGTATACAACATTTTGCGGCTACGTGCTCTCTAAACAAGTTAGACTGAGGCTATTTGATATATATATTATATATATATATATATATATATATATAAGGGCGCTTACACACGGCGGCTTTTAGCAGCGCGTTTGTAACGATTCAGTCGTGATGCACGTTGTTAATGACTCAACATAAGCGACTGCATCGATGCAACCGCCTATAAATCGCTAGTATCGCGATACAATCACGCTGTAGCGGACTGTATCAATGGGTTTGGGTGGGACTATCAACGAGTGAGCGAGACCAGTCCCATATCATTCTACATAAGTTTTTTTTTATAGTGCCGCTCCCTACCTCTTGGTTATGCGGGAAGGGCACTATAGCTCGCACAGGTTCCATCTACGTCAAGTCCTAACCCCGGATCAGCACGTTTGCACGTACTTCGTCCGGTTCTCTATAAGGCTAGTGCCCTAGGTGAGCCGTCCCGGGTGCACGTACAGTACCCTCCCTATTTTCCAGAAAGGTACCGGAGCCGTAGGCACGCTCACTTCCCACTGACCCGCCGACTCTAAGCTGACTACGAAATCTCCTCATTGGTGGCGGAGATCTAAGGCACGCTCACTTCCCGACGCCGAATGAACGGCTTCTCTCCAGTTTCCAAACTCCTACGCGGCCGGACCGGAAGATGTCCAGCTTATCCTCTACTAGCTCTCCGGGCTAGTACAGTATATCCGGACATAGCCACCGACTTAAAGGGCAACTCACGTACCCCGCGCGTCTCTTCGCCTCAGGCCCTCAACTAGACCGCTACTAAGCTGCGCTCGGGACGAACGCCCCGGTCACACACTACCGGGGCAGACGAACGTGTTCGTCCCTGCAGCTAACTACAAACCCCGGGGAGTCCATATCCAAATCCGGGTCCGCTAAAGACACCTGTGAAGACATGTAACTGGCGAAGGGCTTGCCATCGAGCCCGTAGTCTCTCCGGAAAACCCTATCTCTCAGGTCGGTAGACAGGGACAGTTTATTACAAAACACGTACAACTTATCAATCCAAAAACAAACAATGGTAAAGAAAAGGCGCCAAAAACTTTCACATTTAAATTTAGAATTTAAATATAAAACTAAACTTAAAAATACTATATATAAACTAGATATTCACAAAAGAGATTTGTAGCGACTGCTGTGATTCGCTACACACGCGTTTCACATACGCGGTCTTGTATAGCTGCTAAAAGTCACCGTGTGTAATCGCTCTAAGTTTAGTGCTTTTTATCGAACCAGATCTGTGGACGAAATTCTTTTGATCCATTGACCCTACGAGACAAGAATTTTAAATTCTAGTATATTCTCGCGTATAAGTATTATTACCCCGTGTAGCGATGTATCTTGCAAGAATTTGGCATACGCCACACAGTGTAATAACTATCACTGAAACGCGCCACGAAATTGTTCAATTTCGAGCACAAACTATTGGAATGGAGGGGTCCAATGGGTTTCAACTTAAACTTTTCATATATGTGCCTTAGAGACATCCCACGTCTTCAAGCGTGGTAAACTATACGGCTCAATGCTCTAACCTTTATTGCTATTGACCTTTCTTTATTGAATAGACCCGTGTCCGACATAGGACTATAATAGATCAAACTGTACTTATTCGGCATAAGTTAGTGTGAACAGTGTTTTCGGAATAATAAACATGTTAAAATTATTGTTTGTTGATCTCAATTTTTCAAAATACTGTTATTATCTAAGACACATATTCCCAAATTTTTTGACTCACTGCCCACTTAGGCAAGATTAAAAAAATTCAACGCCCACCTCCACAAAAAATAATTGAAATCACGTATTTTTTATATTAACTTAACACAAAAAAAATCACAAAGAAATGTATGTAGTTAAGTTAATATACATAATATGTAGATATACAATATAATATAATATACAATATGTAGATAATTTAGGCTCTTTTTTTCAAATGAAGTAGCACCCCCTGCATAGCATCAGCACCTCTCAAAGGCTTCCGAGGACTCTAAGATTCTTCAACGCCCACTAGGGGGCGGTATGGACAGACATGTGTTTTGCAGTAGGATGTCTCTTAGGATTGGTAATCCATGGCTACAGCCGTACGCACTCCACTACTGCTTGTCCTGTCTTTACGACACGCTCCGACAATACGGCATTGAAATACCTTATTTCGTGAAAATACGATTCACGCTATTTTACCACTATATATTCTTCAGCTATTTACCTTATACGACGTACAATAATCTTCTTTATTATTCCTTTAAAATATGCAAATATATTATTGTTCAAATTGTAAATACTCTTCTTGTTATTTTTCAGTCGTTTCAAGGCAGCCAAGGGCGCGCATATCTTTTCAATTCAGTGTAAGTATTTGTTACCATTTCCTTTGTTACCAATACTGGACAACCGGTACTATATTAATAGGTTGGTATTTGCTGCAATCGTTGCTTAATGAGGTTTCTTAAACTTGAATACCGTGTTTAGGCCTAAGTAATAGGTATGAGATTTTAAGATCTACTTAATTATGTAATGATTTCATTACCACAAGGTAAGTGACTGAAACTCTAACCGCGAAAAGCCAAGAAAAAAATACGACATTCTTTTTTTAAAACTCATTACAGTTCTGTGTACAGAAAAACAAGTATATCTAACGCTAACCGCGAAAAGCCCAGAACAAAATACGACGTTCTTTTTTTGAAACTCATTACAATTCTGTGTACAAGTAAACATAGTACATTGTGTATTAAGGGCGGTAAATGAGAAACTATTAACGACAATTTGTGACTCGAGGTTTGTAATTTTTATCTCCCGTGCTACATAAGTGTCAAGTAAAAATAGTACATTGTGTATTAAGGGCGGTAAATGAGAAACTATTAACAAGAGTTTGTGACTCGAGGTTTGCAATTTTTATCGCTATCGCCCGTACTACATACAATGCTTTTCATTTTTGCGAAGAAATAAATACAACGATAATTTATTTCTTGTATGAATAAATATCGCTTCACAAATCACAACACAATATTTACGGATTTGGCAAATGGCGGGTTTTTGCTTTTTTTTAAAAAGATTGTCAGCTATCCTTCCATAGATAATACAACTCGAATCAAAATGTTATAGAAGGCACAGGCGTATACAGCCACGATATATTACATGTAAAATAAATAATTTCCAAATTCTGTTAATAGTGCAGAATTTGAATTCACAAAATAATAAATTTAGTAAAATACAGTTAAATTGCAAATTTAGTTTTTTTTTTCTGTACTTGAAGCTTATACGAAATACATTCAGATTTTTTTGAGCAGAAAAACTTTTTGCTTAATTTTGATGTACCTTCAGAAGTACAGTGTAAATAAAATTAAAAATCTTTTACCGCCCTGGGACAAGGTAATTTAATGAAAAACCTCTTGAGCATAATTTAGGACATTACGGTCGACTTTCCCTGCACTTCATGATACTGTTTACGACCACGTGTGATGAAAAATATAATGAAATTTTTCATTTCAGTAGCGAGTACCATAGTCAATAATAGAATTTTGGGTCAGAACTAAAAAGAACGCCTTTATGTATGGTTTATGAAATTTAATGTACAGGACTTAGAATAATAATGCATAGAAACCTAGCCCGCACACGCTAAGTGAGGCAAATTGTAGGACGCCCTATGGGCTTACACGAGCGAGCGGGCTGTCAGTGCTCAAGGTCAAGTTGCACCGCGAGCAGCTCAAAAATTTTTGCTAAAAATGACGAAATGTGCGGTAATTGGGTTTAAAAATAGATCAGAAAAATATAAAATAGACACTAACATCACATTCCACAAGGAAGTAACGCGTTTCAACTTGTATTTTTATGTAAATATTCACTAAAACAGAAAATTAATTTCGTTGCAACAAGATACGAAAATGTTGCAAAGTAACGGGTTTTTTCTCCCCATTTGGCTATTCTGTTTCAAAATAATTATGTTACGTAATTTTTTGAGAATAGGCAATATCGCGACGGTTGCAAAATTTCTACAAATGTACACCGCCGCAACAACATTGTAGGGAATTTACGTTAGCTATTTTTACGAAATATATTTAGTATTTGCCTTCATTAGTTTCATGTGAAAAATCATTATTCTTGTTCATCATACACTCACTTAAAAAAATTGTCTTGCCCAGACTCAAAAGTTCTTAATTAAAATTATTTCAGGAAACTAACACTGACTAAAGAGTCATCGTCAGTTCTCCAAAATCGTGTATAAACAACTTTCAGGTTCAGGTTCTTAATTGTTATCGTGTACTTTTCATATAAACATACCCACAGACAATATCAGGCTATTTATATATTCAAATTCGATAGTCGCACTTAAACTCGCTTGTAGGTTTTTGTTCATAGGTATATGAGTTAAATAAGAATTGGGTAGTATTTAATAAGGTGCCTACAGATTTTCTCGACATTGTCAATCGACAGTAACGATTGAGAATTATAGACGTTTTCGAGGAGTTTTAGAGTGCTTATTACGAATGTAGCATTAATTTCTAAATCCAAGATGGTTGACAACAATTTTCAAAAATGTATTTTTGGTAAACCATAAGGAAATGGCATGTATATCTGAATACAAGATGGGGGACAAGACTTCTAATTCTTCTTCTTCTAATTCTTTGCCATCTTGAATTTAGAAATATGTGCTGTATTCGGAATGAACACACCCAGCCCACCCACCCCCACCCAGCTTGCTATTATTCGAAAAAACGTGCCCGCCATCTTGGATTTAGAAATAAATTCCATATTCGTGATGAGCACCTCGAATACCTCGAAAACGATTCCCATTTTGCATTTATTCGAAAAGACGTGTCCGCCATCTTGGATTTAGAAATGAGAAAAGTAGTGTCCGCCTTCGTGTATTCAGATATAAATGCCATTGCCATAAGGATTACCAAAAATAAATTTTTGAAAATGCCTGTCACTGGACGTTGTCGATCAACAGTAACGATCGACAAAATCGAGCATATCTGTAGGCACCTGATCGACAGTAACGATCGACAAAGTCGAGCAAATCCGTAGGCACCTCTAACTTAACGATGAATTAAGCAAGATACAATTTCCCCACTTTTGAGGGAAATGTTATTCCATGGCATCATTATTTGTATATTTGTGTGCGTGCCGACGAGCGTAAATACAAGTTGCTTACGCCTACATGAATTTGATTTTTGCCTCACTTGTTACAGTTCGTTTTTTATGAAACTATCATTGTATGCGTTATTATTCTAAGGTACAGGAGTAGAAAAAACAATTCAATGGTAAATTTCGATAGATGGCAATAGATACAGGGTACGGACGAATGTCATATTATGGCGCATCCACACATGCCCGGCGGCATGGCCAGCGGCCGTGCCGCCGGCATTTGCCGCATCTCAGCCGCGACACGCGCGGCTTTTGGTTGCCGGCGGCAGTTTGCTTGCGGCTTCGATACGGAGTGGTAGTGTAGTCGTATTCATATATAACATAATTAACAACACTACTGCGAAAATTGCAACCGCATCTGCAGGCCGCCGGTAAAGCCGGCGGCCTGCATTCAGCGGCAAGGCGGTCTGAAACCCGGCGGCATGTGTGGATGCGCCATTAGTGACACAACATTTCTTAACTTTTTTCATTTTAAATTATGATGTTTCTATGACTCAGGGGCCTGTTTATGCTTATCTATATTTAGTTTAGGTTCGTACCCATAGGAGTGAAATGTGTTTCGTAATGCAAGATTGGTAATACTATATATAAATACGTTGGGCAGTAATACACTTGTGTTTACTAGGACGCATCATGTTGTTAAAAATAAAAATAAAGTCTGGTCAAATACATTTATAATTTCTAATAAAAAAATGTCACTCAAACGATTCATCGACTTATTTTCGTGTGCGGTGCCAGCTCCGAGACGTATTCGGCGACTATATTTTACAAAATATAATGACAGACCTGAATTCTGAGAGCATATTTCTTATTCAGTATCAGTAGAACTCTTGTGAAATAGTTCAACAAGTAAAGAACTTATCCCAAAGTACCCATTTCCGCCGCCAAGCAGTAATGTGAGCATTACTGCGTTCCGTTTTTGAAGGGTAAGGTTTTTAAGGGTTAAATTTATATTGCGGCGGAACGGAATGGAAGCGAATTTTTGTACATTGTTTAATGAACTTTATGGTCAATTGTGTAACGTACAAACTAGATACGAGCCAAAATCTTCCGCGGAATGCGCGGGCATTCTCGAGCACGCGCGAATTCTTTTTGCCAGCAACATTTAAATTGCTTGGAATAATACAACCGCACGATCGTCGCGCGGCCGCCGCGTATACCAAAGACAATACAGACTTACCCGCGCGCCCGAGATGCTCATTTAAGTTAAAACGTAAAAGCTAAATAAATAGAGCGTATTTTGCCATGACAGTTAGACACACGCGGTGTGAGCGCGATGAAATTCGTATCGAATAAACGCGCCCTAAGTGTTCAGCACTACAAGCGTCCATTCATTAATGTACGTGTTTCATGAGCACGCTCTAGCATCAAGTGACAGGTGGGGTTCAACACTAACTAAAGCCTTGTGTTTCCTAGTCTAAAATATTTTTTTTTTAATTCCCAAACCCGACGTAGTAGGAAATAATAATTGTCATTTGTACGTAATGTAACATATGTAGCAATTGCTTTAAGTATCCCGCATAGCTCTTAATTTATCTACACGCAATGTTAAAATTACAATTCTCCAAAAATATTTACATGAAATGTCAAATGTTAAAGTAACTTGCCTCTACGTAGCCATCATGCATATTTCATGGCAGTCGGGTCGATACGCAGTGAATTTCAACATTGCCCTTCTACCTAATATCGTTCTTATCTAATGAATACAAACATTACTATGTACACATATAACATTGGAAGTCTAAATTAAAATTTATAAAAATATGTTCTCTTTACTTGCTTTGGAGATATAACGTATACGACATTGTTAAATACGTTAGTTGTTTGTACGATACGAGAACTCATTTCCTCGACTGACAACACAAGCATTGACGTCACTAGTCCATACTAGCGTGGCAATTCAAGGTGTTTTTATAATATTAAGTGACGGGACGAACAAGTTGTGCGCGTGGTGGTAAGCCACACGCCTGTCGATAACAGTTGCAGTGCCACTCAGAGATTTAAATCGCAAAGATCTGAGGGGCACGATCACTGCGCCCGTCACCCTGATACATAAGTTGACTAGTTCCATATGTGCCTGTAATTTCACCAGCACGCTTACCCTTCCAAACCGGCAGAAATAGGAAAGGTGGCAGTACTTCCTTGAACGAACGAACTTTATTTCTACCGCCGAGCAGTCCAGGGTTCGAAGGCAAATGGGTCATGACAACTTATACCTCAGGACGTCGGGCGCAGTGGCAGTACTCCTCAGATCTTTGTGATTTAAAGTTCTGAGTGGATTGCAGCTGTAATGGACAGACGTGTTTCTTACGATCAGAGGCAGGACTTGTTCATTCTGTTAATTGGTATCATAATAAAAGAAAGACGTTACCGCTCCCGATGTATCCGAGAGCGAGCGCAGACAATGTGCTCCAATAAACGTATTGTCTTACTATCTATAGGTTATTATATAAGCACAATCTAAAAACTTACATATCCAAAGCCGTACGTATTATATCAGTTTCCTGTTAAATTGTACCTATATAATTACAAAATTACATTGGCTCATACACCTATTCTACGAGTATTCCACCAATAAAGTAAGTAAAATATAGACTTCGTAGTAAGTTCTCAAAACAATAAAACATTTTCTATTGATTATAAAATACCATAAACTTTGGAACAATGAACTTGTGTATTAAATAGTTTTTATATGTTAATTCCCATTATTACGTGAATGGGCATCGAACTATTATTAAAAATTACACGCGGTAATCTGTAAGAGCACTATTTAGATAGCAAACAATTTCTATTAAAAATACCCAATGCTTTTGACTCTGATTTATTTGACTTTGGCTTTGATCATTATTGGACATGTCAGCACCATTGGAAACACAATACATCCAGAAAACACTTACTAACACCTAAACGGATTTAAAATCAAAATACTACCTACCAAACATGTAACACAAAATCTTAGCGGCATTATTTGTTGGTGCAGACAAATTGAAACCAAGCAACATTAAATGTACCAAAACCAACCTGCGCAAATAACCGCATCCTGAAAGGTTCCGTCCGAACTAACTCCATGAGCAAATGCTGCTATGCGGCGTTGTAAAACGGTCATTTTTAATTTCGTATTGCAGAGTCAACGTGGGCTGTGGTCCCGCGGAGGAGCGCGTGCTATTAACGGGCTTACATGCCGTTGCCGACATCTATTGCGAGTGCTGCAAAACCATGCTCGGATGGAAATATGTAAGTATAAAACAGTAATGGAGACTTCCGTCTAATTACACTTTGAATTTCCTTGGCCAGCCTTTAAAAAAGTGCAGGCGTGAAACTCCTAACGTAATCGACATTTTTAGCGAAATTAAGGTATTAAGATACCTGGGATCTATGAAACGAGATCTACAACACCATCTAAACGGTCTTCTTATCGCATCGATGACGTACGTTATACTATTCCTACATTCGTACATCCGACCAATCTGCGCCCTTTCGGTTGTCCCAAATAAGCCCTCTTCGCGGCACGATTTTCCCATCTCTCCACGTGTCCGATCTAGTGGGAGTCTCGCAGCTTTAGTTTCTCGCACAATATTGGGCCCGGACATCAGATCTTGAATGTCAAGGTCCTTCCTTGTTCTCCAGATCCCATCTTCCCTTTGAGTCGGTCCCAGAATTTGCCACAAGATTTTCTTTCCGCCACTAACAACTTATTTTCCTCGTTCAAGGTCAGTGTCCAAATTTCGCAACGACAAATTACTACAAGATTTTCTATGTTTCTCAAACAAACTTTTGGACACACAAACTCCAGATCTAGTGCACAAATATTTTTATTCTACCTATATTTATGACACAAGATAAATAAAATAAACAGCGTTGTGTCCACAAATAGTTATATGCAAATTGTGTTTTTCAAATAACTCAATTGAGACGCCTTTGACATAATATAACCTACTTAAATAATATAATATTTAGAAATTTTAAACATTTATAAAAATACTTATATAATAGCTATGCAAAAAATAGTTGAACCATTACATATATGGATAAAGCCTATAATATTGTATACACAACGGGACTTTGTTATATAATTATAAACTAGATTTAAGTTATTTTTGCTACGCCCTGTCAGGGCCCATGTGATACAATTATTTCTTGTACATCTGTTTTTCACCATGGTTGCAATAAACGATACGATACGATACGATATCTCTGGCTTTGACCTGACCCAAGACCTGCCCCTATTACACTCGCAGTCGATTTTGTAAATAATACGTCAATTGAACGTTTACCACTTGGCCAATATTTAACAAACACTTCAATAATTAACGATAACCTTAAAATCACTACTGTGACCTCAATGCATAAATTACTACAAAGTACATTGGTTCCAAGTTCCCAACAGTCTCTGTTAATTTGTCAATCTCATGAATAAATTGTTTTCAGTTGTGTAATTCTTTTAAGTTCAGTACTTAATACAATTTGTACCATAAACATCCTTTTGCTATGTTTACTTTAGGGCCGATCGGTTATGTCGTTATGAAATGAAATGAGGTTTATTTGCATTGAATAGGTTATCGGTCTCTGTTAACTTGTCAAATTTTTGTGCCATCGTCAACATTTCAGCTCGTTAACACCCACTGCTCGGTACAGGCCTACTCTTTTGCGCGCCAGCTCAATCGGTCCAGTGCCATCTAGGTGGTCTGGCTCGAGGACGTCTCGCTCCTACCAGGTACAACTCAGTGGCCGGCTTGGTCCATCGGTCGTCGTCCCGCCTAGCAACGTGTCCTGCCCATCTCCATTTTAGGCTCGCGATCAGCATGCCGATCTTAGTACTGGAGCATTTAATTATTTTTTTATTTAATTATTTATTGTACAGAAAAAAAAAACAAAAACACAAACAAAATGTACTGCTTATTTCTAACAGAAATTTCTTCCAGCTGACCTAAATACTGGAGTATAATAATTACAATAACGTGTTTACGTGCACAATAAAACAAAAATTATGAATATAAAGCATGAAGACACTCGTGCTGCTATCAGATTGGTTTTCCAGTTTTTTCTTTAGCTAGGTGTGTATTATTGACCGAGTAGATGATATCTCTATAAAATACGAGTTATCTTAATTACTTCTCTTATTATATTCTTAATTTTAGAATCACTAACTGAAGGAAACAATAAAGGATAGCTATGATTAATTAAGATTCAAAAATATCGTCCACCAAACACGTGCGCACGTCATCACGACTCAAGAATGAGAGCCTGCTCAAGACGGCCGCCTCCTCAGTGCTTGGTGTTCGTTCTACTATTGATGCTAGGCAGCGCTAGAATCGTTTTAATGACGACCATCCATTAGATGTAACGCCACTAATCTCCTATTTTGCGAATGCGCCGACAAAAAAAAATCAAAAACTTAAAATTATTAAAACTATATAAATATTTAGATAAATACATATTTCATACTATAATACTTATAAAATGTATAGGAACAGTAGAAATATGTAGGAACAGTCGATAAATAGTGCTCATTAACTCTCATTGTGAAATTATATTGACTGAGTGTTTTTAAATAAAATTTTTTTATTTTCAGGAGCACGCCTTCGAATCGAGTCAGAAATACAAAGAGGGCAAGTTCATAATAGAACTTGCTCACATGGTGAAGGAGAACGGCTGGGACTAGGCGCGCGGTCCATGCTCGACGCGGGCCGCGCGCCTCATGTGATAGCGACTGGCGGCCGGCCCTCTCGGCCATAGTGCTGTGCAACACCCCTGACGGACTTTCCGAAGCGTCAATTACACGAACCCACTCGCACCGACAGTGTTCTCGGCTGATCCGTGTGACCAGCAGCATGAGCCGCCGCCGGCTCGAGCCCTCGTGATGAAGTGCCGGGCGATGCCCGCCGTCGCGCGCGTCCTCGTCGAACGTATATTTTTGTGACACGCAGTTCTTATTGGGAGGTCGGGGCAGCGCGGGCGGCGGCGCGCCGATGTGCGTCCGCCCTAGTGGGGATATCGCCTTATGTGCTCTTCGTTCCGGCTTCAGCGCTAGAGCACCGCCAGTCGACATAATGTTATGTTATACATAAGTTATCGATCTCAACCGCCCCGCGGGGCACTGGGCTTAGAATTTATACTAATTATATAATTTGAACGATTTGGTTTTCGCCGTCTCGACGCGTAGCGGCGGGCGTCCGTACATTTTAAGTTGTCTTAGTTATGTATTTACTGCATCGTACTGTATTAAGAGAACACTAATACTTTCTCTTGTCCCCTTAACCTGTGATAAGTATGTTAGTATAGAATTTTGAATTTCTTGAACGATTTTTTCAAGAAGTTGCTCAGAAATGTCAGTTGTATGTTCCTAATGATTTCAGCTGTACAATTTGCTTTTTATTTTGTGAGGAAACTAGTCGAAACGCGAATATGCACTGGGGAAATGATTTTCATTTTGTTTTTTTGCGCCTGATTTAGTGATTTTTTTTAGTTTTTAATTATGATTTTCGACTATTCCTCTCGTTTATTTTGAGATTTGGGTTGTTTTAGTTGAAACACGTCGAATACTTCGTACATTCACAATGTTTGTCACCACAACACACCGTCAGTCGTGGAGGACGACAGAGGCATACTGAGAGCGTTACTAAGAGGAAGGTTAGGACTAGGATGGTTTTATTATTCATTTATTGTTTCTATTAAAATGTAATAATTAGTGGAACATTTACCCATATATTTTACCTTAACTGCATGGTACTTCATTTATATTGTACTCGTTGTAAGAATTTGCATGAGCTTCAAAGTTATCTATGGTTATCGTAAGACGATCGTTCATTTATGTGATACACTATTATTTGAAGCCTGTACTGTGGTTATTTATAAATTTTTAATATCTTTCGTCCGATTTTAACATATTCGAATACTTGTAACGCATGATCAGCCGTCGCATACAGTAATATCAGAGCGTCGTTTACTGCCACTAGCATATACACGTCTGTAATTTAAATAATATAATACAAATTCAACGTAAGGCGCTCGTTTGATGTTATATAATGAAGTTTTTATTTTTACAATACTAATAAATTTAGATTGCTATTAGAGTTTCGGATTTGTTTAGAGTAAGACGAATTGTCTATTGTAATATTTGGATTATTCAAAGACGTATTTGTAACACCTTTTGTACTCCTGCCTACATTTTGTCCTACGTGTAATAACAACAGTACAAATCTGGTGCCCGTGTTAATATTGATGGACGTAGTGAGCAAAACTTTAACGAACAAAGACGGGTTTTACCATAGTATAATAATAAAACAGTTATGGCCACTCCTTACAAAAAAGCAGAATGATTTGTACGGACACACACATTTGGATATTAGACTACGTCACATACATTGCTCTGATCCTAAAGTAACTAACTAAAGCACTTGTGTTAGGGAAATCGGGAACAACAGCGGTTTAACGGATCCTTGTAACTTTATCTAAAACGCAAAAGATACTTCACACATTTTTCTGATGTCTTTATTTTAAACGTTGCTATGCGAATCACACTCACTACCACGACGGAGCCGGAATGTTCGACTAAACATACATTATAAATTATAGGTATGCTATGTAAAAGTCAACCTATCAGGTAGCCGTGATTCATGGCCTGAGCAAGTCACAGTCGTTGCCGGTAGTCAAGTCAGAGTCTGTGTTGAAGTCTCAGGGGGTCAACGTTGTTATGGGGGTCTTTAGGCGATACCACAAACACCCAGACCCGAGACAATATTGAAAAGTTAGTTTTTTACATTGATTCGGCCGGGGATTGAAACTGGACCCTCATAATTTGCGACACCATGAAAACCGGTGTGAAACTCGACCACGGATGCAATAATCACCTTTCATAATTGACGACATGACCACGAAAACTAACTTTTCCTTATTGTCTCGGGTCTGGGTATTTGTGGCACCGCTGTTGGTTCCGATATCTACAACACAACTGCTTTGGGTACTTACTTTGGGTTCAGAGCAACGTATGCGATGCGCGAGACGATTATGCGAATTTGTGCGTCCTTATACGCTGCGGGCACGCACACATACAAGGCCACGCTGCTGCGTTTGTATAGAGTTACCATATCGATGCCTTACATTCTCAAACTCGTATCTTAATAAAGAGTGATTATTTAGGAGATGGCAAAAGTTTCTATACATTTTGAATTTCTTATCAAGGGCAGAGAACAAAAGACAAGACTTTAAGAATAGGCAAAACCCAGTATGTGAATATAAAGGAAATGTGATGTGAAATTAGCCTGCAAAATTTGTATATACAATCCATTTTTTGTACTTCACTAACTTTGTGCTTTAAGATACGAGTTTGAGAAAGTAAGGCGACGATATTTGTCTTATTATGCTACGGTTTTACTCTTCTTCTTTGTCGACCTATAAAAATCCTCCACAATAGTGTGCCTAGTAGGCAGGAGGTAAACTAGGAAAGACTCGAATTAACAATAACTATAAGGGTTATATGCTACATTTGTTAGTCTAGCATGTTATTCTCACATCGAACTTGTAATTTCTGTTCCACGTCCCATAGTCACTTGACGTACTGAAAATAAAAGGCCCATTCTCAGATTAGTGTCCACTACCTAATTTTCGAGGCAATTTACATTATTTAAATTTTAATATTCGAGTATATTATCGATAAATATTAAATAATATTACGTAGCCTTCGTATACATGTGATCATACATCAAAAGTGCTTTTATCACATGAAAATCATAAAAACAATACGAACTTCATGAACCATATTATGCATAAAAATTTATCGACTAACTTTGTTTATAGAATCTTTAAACCTCTCCCCTGAAACGTTAACCTTTTTATGGCCTATACTCGAATATTTAAATAATAAAAATTACCACGATGATTAGGCACTGAACACTAACCTGAGAATGAACAAAACTAAGCTGAACTTGAGACTTCGCGAAATTCAAAGTCACCGGAACAAACCTGTATAACTAATACGTCTTTTGTAACCGAACATATTCAGTGTACGTGATATAAGATAAGGCAAACGCTGCAGTTCACATGTTATGTAATCGTAATGTTATCATAGGATAATAATGCGTTAAGAAGTTGCGTAGTGTTTTCGGGAAGTTCTTAATATTAAAATAAAACTCGTACAAAACGTGTACAATATTTCGTAGGTACCTAGTGTTTTTCTGTCGCCATGTTATATGTCTTCTTTATCATGTTTTTTTCAAGTAAAATTACAAGTTTTTCAAGACCTTGGTAGCTCAGCGTTTAACACTGGGCGCTAGATGAGGAAATCCCGATGGGAATTAGAAACGAACTGTTCTAAATTGTTGCTGGTCTGATTTTTCTGGGTCATACCTAGTATTGGGTAATTTTGAAAAATTTCAAATCTTGAAAAAAGAAAATTGGAGAAATATAATTCGAAGACTCATATTATGTTTTACGTTTAGTATCTATCAGTTTTATTTAGCATGAATTATAAAATAAAATTGTATAAACATGGCTAAATGTCATTTTCTAAACCCTGGGTGGCTTATTTTCACAAATTCTCTTAGTAGACCTTATAGTATCTTTGACTTTTGACAGGTGTTATTGTCAAATGTGGAGAAAAATATTTATTTTTTCAAATTGGACATTTTTTCATGACCCAACACTAGCAATACCCCGGAGTTACTTTCTGATACTCAGAGTGCAAAGAATTTCCAAATTTGGGACCAGCTAATTGGTGTAGTTATCTGACACTATCATTATTATTATTTTCATAATTATGTTCCCGTATTTTTTTATAGATAGCATTTTATTGAATTTCTGTTATATTTTCTTTCAAAAAAGATACATAAATGATTTTGGTCTACTATTCTTTATGACGTGATGGTAATTGCTATCATTTTTACCATTTTAAAGCTAAAATAGAATAATATACTTATAATACGACTGAAGGGCTTGAAGTCATGAAAAAAAAAAAACAAACGCTATGAGAGGTAGCTAATGAGATAATAATCAATTTGCAATGTACAGTCAACAGCACATCAAACTGCACACATTTGTCGAATATCGCCTCCCAGTGCAACGGAACAAGATCCGTCAATATGTAGCTTGGTATGTTGCCGTCTGTACACTATCAACAAAGTTGAAATTTTCCTAGTTCCTCAATAGTTTAGTTTGCAAGTGGAGATTGTAACTCGAGATCCCATTTGATTGACACTTTTTTTTGAAAACCCTTTGTTTATAAGAAAAATATGAACTAACCCTAGCTGTAAATGGCCGCTGCGGACCGCAGTTGCCTGCATGCAAAAAGAACCCTTAAGGATAGCGTCGACTCTGATAGTATATTGAGCATCAGGAATGCCCAAGTGCTCTTTCAATGTAGTCTTAATTGTTATAAGAATAAAATTTCCATGAACACTGCGCAACAAATAAAATCGAAACTTTGAGATTGTCATAGTAGTTTAGATTAACACTCTTAGACCTACGATTTACCTTTGGCGCCGTTCAACACAAAAAAATACAAGTGAGAAAATTAAAAAACAAGCTAGATTTCTGTGAGAGTATTTTTCTACTTGATCGTTTAGGAAAGCTATTAGATATTTTTGGACCATTGTTAAGATAAATTATCAGTATTCGCTGAGAGATGGTTAATATTAGTTTTTGGATGGTTAAATTGTTGTCAAGATTAGTTGAGCCGCTTTCTAGCTGTAACATGCACCCTTCACTTTCGAAACCCTCCTCGATGTCACTACAAGATGTAAATTTCAAAAAAAACACGTCAACCTTGACGCATTGGACTTTGGACCGTTACCTTTCGTAAACGGCATAGAGTCGAATTTCAACTGTAAGTGCCGAAGCTTGACGTGTTCTTGGCCATGTACCTACTTAAATAACGGAATTAAATTTGATTTACAGTGAACTATTATTCTTTTGGCTTCGGAAAATATACGCCTCGACTTTATCTCTTTCTGACATATTCCAAACATGATATGAAAGAAAGAGATAGAATGACGGCTGCGCAATTGAATCTTAGAATAGAATTTGAGCTCATTACCTGCAAAAGTTACGAAACAACCTCTCTGTATCCAGAAGTAGAAGCAGGTCAGTGTAAAACCACCTTAGTACCACTATTGTTCTTTCTCCTAAAGGATAGCCCCCTAAGGATCTAATTTGAAAGTCAGCCTGAAGTTACTTCAGAAATTGCAGCAAATTGAACTCTGAAAGCCAGGATGACTTTCGAAATAGACGACTAGGATCGTACCACACGTGGCTGCACCATATCGCGTCGTGTCTATCCCAAAAAAAAACCTCTTGTGTTTCACATGGTAGACGCGGTGTGTTTAAATGCGGGAGTGATAATTACAACCCAAAGCTTACTACTTCTTAAGAAGTTCTAAAATCTACATCTAATAGAAACATTGAGGCAATCCACACGGTCTTAGAGTGTTAACAGTCGACCGAGGGAAAATAAAAGAACAGCGTATTTATAAATGGTGCATTTTATAAGTGTATATTTCGCATATTTACATAAGGTATACCGTTAGGTGTTTACCAAAAAAAAACCGCTTAATATTTTTGTATTTTCCTAGTAAGTAACGAACATTATAAAAATTTGTGGTGTCTTCTAACGATTGTGTATGCATTATGCTATAGATGAGTAAACATTTGGTTGAAATAATAAGTGCGTAATAAAACACTTTTTCGTATTATTTTTTTTCGTTTTATTTACACAAAACATTGTTTTAAAATAAATATAAAGATGTGTTCTGCTCTCTTTGTCATAACTGCTATGGCTGCTAACAGATTGAGTGTATGTTTGTAGCTAATGCGTGAAGTTGTAATCAACTTTATGCAGCCGAGTCCTCCACTGCATGAAGTTGATAACGATTTCACGCATTAACAGCATTAATGCGTGAAGTTGTTATCAACTTCATGCAGTTAAGTCTCGGATAATGACTTCACGCAGCACTGCATAAAGTCGAGATCGACTGCATTCAGTTAATGCAAGAAATCGATACTACTTCACCCATTCACAGCAAACATGCAGTCAATCTGTTAGCATACTAACGCATTTGGCATTTTAGTAACTTTCCAGATATTGGCAGTTTTTTTCTTTGATAAAGTCAATTACGCTGATTTTGCTTAACAACAAAACTGAAACTAAGTAACTTCGGTGTTTTGTAGAAAGGGCGTAAGCGATTTCGAAAAAAAATTCAGGGAGCATGTTTCAGGTTTTCACGATTGTTAAAATATTTACGTCCTTAAGTGTTTTATTCAATGTCAGGATGATATTCAATTATTTTTTGGGAAATTATTCCACTTGTTATAATTATTAATACAAAGATCGAACATTTAGAAAAAAATCCTTCGATCCGGCCGCGTACATAGCTTTCCGTATACAGTACGTCCCCCAAGGAGAGACGAGTTCGGTACGCTTTTCTAAGGGTCTAAACAACCGAAATACCGTACCCAGTATGACCCCTCGAAGCGACAAATTATATACGCTTTCCATCTACCGTATAAATTTAAGCCATTAAAAACCCATATTTAGTACGTCCATTAGGGGACGAATTAGGCACGGCTTTTCGTGAGAAACGCTCGTTAGAAAGCGTTTCTCATGAAAACGTTAGCGTTACTCGAGCCGTGACGAATCAGAGACGCTTTTTACGAGTGTTTCTTACGACAACCGAGACGATTTTTACGAGTGTTTCTTACGAAAACCCGTACCTAATTCGTCCCCTAATGCACGTACTAAATACAATTCGTCCCCTAATGCACGTACTAAATACGGTATTTTAGTCGCTTAAACTTACGTGCTAGCTGGAAAGGGGGACTTCGAGGGGACATACCGTGTGCGGTATTTCAGTTGTTTACTTTTAGAAAAGCGTACCGAACTCTGTCTTTCCTTGGGGGACGTATTGTACGGAAGCCATACACGCGGACCGGCCGGATTCGAACCGGCGACGTCTTCTAGCAAACCGTGCCAGACAGATTTAATTACAGGGAATTCTCTACCAAGGTGGTGCGGAAAAAAAGTATCTCGATTATACTGAAAAATGTTTATTGTGAATATTCTTATCTATAGCAAAGATATTTTGAATATGAACCCATACGCGGCTCCAAACTGGTTTGTCAGGGCCGTAGACGCCACGACTTAACAATTTTTACGTCACCAACAGGTTTTATAATAATTTGTTTATTTCGTTTACTGCTTTAGAGCGGTTACACGTTATATTTTAAAATCACTTTTATACCCACATGCAACTTAGGGAGTCACCACACTTATTAACGGAAATCTCAGTAAGCGAATCTCATTAAGCCGGTCAGAAATAGCTAAAAACGTAAAAGCGAAAAAGACGTGCGTTTCGCATCGGTTCGTACGAACGCGGCAGTCTGCGTAGGTCGGCAACGAATGCGGCTTCCTGCGAATTTCCGATTGCGTCCGATCCTGGTTTAGAATCGGCGGCGTTAACGGCGAATCGGCTTAATGGGAAAAGTATGATTAAACACGATCGGATTTCTTTTATAATGTAACGGGACGAACAAGTCGTGAGCCTGGTGGTAGCTACGCGCCTGTTCATAACAGTTGCAGTACCATTTATAGCTTTAAATCGCAAAGATCTGGGAAGCACTGCCACTGCGCCTGTCACCCTCAGACATAATTAACAAGTCTCATGTGCCTGTAATTTCACCAGCACCTTTACCCTTCAAAACCGGAACGCAGATAATGGTCACATTACTGTTTGGCGGCAGAAATAGTGGCCGTACTTCCCTGGACGAACTCTTTGGAGGAGGAGCTCTACTGCTACTAAAATGCATCAAGACGAATCCGCGTTAATAAGTTTGCGTGACTCCCTATAGTAGCGATACTACCGCGATACACGTTTTTAATGATTCAACTTATGCACGACTGCGACTGCACGACTCAGTCGCGCGTTTGCACAATACAATCGCACATTTCACGAGTGTTTCTATCGTTGTCAAAAATCGCCGTGTGTAATCGCTCTTAATTATACTAAGCTGGAGTCTCTATTATTTACAATATTGACGTAAAAAAGTTATTTAAAGTTCCTTTGGGAATTTCATAGTCTGCATTAAGTTATAAAGTAATTAATTGTAAGTTACGCAATTATTGTTACAATTTGTAACGGTGCTGATGATCTTAAACATAAAACAATAAATACAATAGAAGTGCTTAGTGGGGTGGTACGTGTGCCAACAGTACGCGGAGTTCCGCAAACATGGACTCAGTCCGCCATTTTCGCTTATATGTATGGTCGTTTCAATTACCTCGCACAAAGTGTCGAATATGAAAAGGAAAAATGCCTTATTTTGCTACATTGGAGTGCAAAAATTATAGTCGCACCTGTAATATTATCCATGGTGATGTTTCATTATCATCTTTAAGTCTTATTTTATTTTATTAACCGACTTCAAAACAAAGGAGGAGGTTCTCCATTAGACTGGTTTTTTTTTGTATGTACGTTACGCGATTATACTCCGGCACTTGTGAACCGATATCAATGATTCTTTTTTTGTTGGAAAGAGGGTGAGAGGGTCCCTAAATGGGAACTTAAGAAAATATGTCACCTCTAACGGTGGCAACTAGGGGATGAATCCGGTTTCGCGCACTTTCTGGTAACCGATTTCAATAAAACTTGGCATTACATCTATTTATAATTCCACGAACTTTTGAGGTCTTAATTTTATAAAAATCGACTCATGCGTAGAACAAAGATCTATGTGCAAGACTGCTTGTTCTCAGGACATAGTACATTTCGTCCGATTTTCGCTGTGGATGTCAGATCGAGCGTTGTTCGATTTTATATTTCCGAAGCGAAATAAGATATACCATGCATTGACTTACAATTATATGGACGTCGGGTCCGCGCTAAAAAGTGTCCGAACTTATAGGGCGTTAAAATCGTATACATAGCGTCATTCACGCTTTAGTCTTCGTTTGTTCGACTGACAGCGAAGCAAGCAAAATAAATAGACAGTACTGCGATGACATTACAATTTAAATTAAACGTTTTAGCTTTTTCATATTCCTTTACATGTCACTACGTTTAAATAGGTTGACTTGGGATATTTTTTTCGTGGTTTTTGTATTAGACCCGTCGTCCATTTATTTGTAATTTATACCATGTATAAATTCTCAAAACACTCACTTTGAATGACGAAATTATTGTCGTAACGTACTTATTCTATTTCGCTATATAATCACATCGGACTCTGTTCTTCGGATGAGGCGAGATAAATTATTTTAATAAATTTCCCATTGCCTGTTTATCGTAATAGATTCTTTGATATTAGAAACGAAAGTAAACCTTATACCGCTGCTATATGGTCGTCTTTATTTAGAGGACGTTAATAGGCGTTAATCGTTCGTCGTCTTTCAGCTATTGTCGTTAGATGGCAGCACGTTGAATTAATATTCAATACATCAAAACGACGTAACTTGCAATAATATTATTGAACTTAACGATATGCCAACAGGGTAAAAGTTTAAATTATATTAACAGTCCAGACTTTGTTACATCTTTTTAAATTAGAAATTACAACCAATTATTATCAAGATTTCATAGTGTTTAACATTATGATAGTGTGACAGCGGGTCTGATAGTAATCGAGGCTTAAGGTCTTTCCATTGTTTTTCTTCTTCCCCGCTTTTAAATTACCTGCTTGCACTTTACTATTGCACTTATAGTTTTTATTATTTATATCATCAATTCTTGTAAATATTTTAACAAATTACACGTTTAAACAATAAGACTATGTAAATTATAATTTACGTTTAGTTCTTTTGAGATCCTGTCTCAAAGCGTTCTTCATATTTGAACGATTATCACTTTCCTCACAGTCCTCCACATTCATGATACTTTTAACTACAGGCATTGGTTCTCTTAAAACGTTCGACCGATCTACTGCATTATCATTTCCACTTATTAATTGTTCTACAATAACATTTTCATATTCTGTACTATTACTACCTTTATGGCTATTTTTTTCTTGTTCGTTATATTCGCCTGTATAGTCGTTTTCTTGTCCTTTACTTTCGTCTACGTTGCCGACACCTTCTTGTTGGCTATTTTCATCTGTTATGCCAATAATTTGTCCGTTTTGTACGTAAATAACTTTAACATTTTTATTATCTACACCTTGTTCTTGAAGTTGTTGTATATATTGAAGAACTTCTGCGATGTCTACCTCGTTTGAGTCAGTATCATTTTGTACTCGAATTTCAACACATTGATCTTGTTGGAAATCGTAATTTTGCGTGTCGTGGGACAATTCTACATCGTGAGCCGATTCCTGAATGCTGTCGTATGTGTCTTGTGTGTTGAGAAATGGTGCGTCAACGTCGTAAGCAGGTTCCTGTTTGATATCCCATGTAACTTGATCTGGGGTAATTGCCATTGCAGTTTGCCGATGATCGGACTTGAATACTATTTTTGCTTGATCTAATTTTGTTTTCGTTAGTGTTGGTAGTAGCTTGAAGAACATCTGATAATAAAAAAAATGTTTTTCATTAACAAGCATCCATAGCTCTATATTGTATATATATTTCATGCAATAACAAAATACTGTGGCGAAACAAAATACGGCGACCACATCGTAGGTAGCAATTTCTTCCAGGTATCCACGAGTAGACAGGATTTTAAATAATAATAATCGGAGGAGTTCAAGATATTTCTAACAAAGCCTAATCGATCAAGTAGGTAGGACAGGTAGTTATAAAATGGTATCATCCAAGATATTTAGAGTTGAGAGTTGGCCAACAAGTTCGTGCCGTTTTTGCCACTATGTGGCTAACTTTAAACAAAGAATAACCTTTTTCTTTTAAATATTATACCGTCTAAAGTCTTTTCAAAAATAATACTTTAGCGCGCTCTTTAAGAATACGCGGGAAATAATCGAAACTGACACTGGCTCAAGCCTAGTGGCGGCCATTGAGAAAACAATATATTTTAAGTTTATAATTAATGAAAAAAGGTCAAAAACTGGTGCATCGTATTGTACACCAAAAAAGGAAACAAATACAATACAATTAAATTAAAAATAAGCGGTGGTACAATGGGCGGTCATATAGGTTTAAGCGATTTCTGCCAGACAACCTTTGGATGGAAGTAATTATATAATTCACAGGAAAAAGACGGCGGTGTATGAAGAATTACTAATCAATAAAAAATAAAAAAACCAATACATATACATATATGAATATCGTAAACTACTATATATTCTTACACCTATAAACATAACATTTCTAAAACATAAATTCAAAACATAAAATACCTAAGCAGTTCAAGTCACACTAAAGTTAGGTAGTGTTCTTTTACCATATTTTTGGATATATTCAATGATTTCGCTTGTTGAATAAACAAAGGTAAAGCGTTCCACAAACGAATAGCCTGAACAGTAAAGGGCTTGTCGTAATACTGGGAGGTATGCAATGGCGTCTTACGTTGGAGAGTTGAAGATGAGCGCAGAAGTCAGGGGTTGGATTGATGGGCGAATTCAAATCGCTCCTTAAGATAAGGTGGTGTGTGAGGAATGAATAAGATGCCATAAAGAATATTAAGAACATGAGCATTCCGGCGAAGTCTAATGGGTAACCACTTCAGCTCCTTGCGATAAATGGAAACATGATCAAATTTCCTCAGACCATAAATGAAACGGATGCAAAAGTTTTGTAGACGTTCGAGCTTGTTGAGCTGTTCTTCGGTTAAATCCAGATAGCAGGCATCAGCATAATCAAGAATTGGAAGAAGAAGAATTTGGGCAAACAATTTTCGGCTGGTCTCAACTAATTGAGGTGCCCAAGATTGCTGCCTATCAATGAGTATACCCAGATTTTTACATTGTCACTAATCTTAATGTAGGTGTCGTCTATAATAACCTGCGGCAAGCGAAACCAATCTATCTTGGATACCATTCTAGAGCTGCCAATAACAATCATTTGCGTTTTCGTTGCGTTTAGTTTAAGACCATATTGTTTACTCCACGTCGAAATATGACGGAGAACATTATTGATTTCCTCAATGGCATTGTGCAGGTTTTCAAGTGAGTGTAAATTGCGCCGGTGAGTGTAAATTTGTAAATCATCTGCATACAGGTGGTAGGATGAGGTGAGACTGGGGGAAATTGAATTATGAGGATCGAGAAGAGAAGAGGAGATAAAACGCCGCCCTGTGGAACGCCAGCACTCATGTCACACCAAGAAAAGAACCTCTCATCAATGCGAACACATTGCCGACGCCCATGTAGGTAACTATGACACCAAGAGATTACCGTTGGAAATATGTTAAGAGTAATGCGTAAAAGTGCAATCAAAATGTCAAAATCAACGTTGTTGAAAGCATTGCTGAAATCAAGCAATGACATTACAGTGAGTTGCTGTTGCGGCATACTATACCTGTACCCTCAAAAATTTGCGATGCCCCCCCGGGGTGTTACATGTTGTACATATAACTAGTTTAACACCACTTGTAAAAACCATGTGACTTGCAAATAAATGAATATGAATATGAATATACCTAATGTTATCAGTGATCCTAACAAGAGCAGTCACAGAACACTGTGTCGTGTGTGTGGGAAGGAAATTCCCCGCTGCTGATAGAAAAATTAAGAATATACCGGATCACAGGTAAAATCTCATCAAGTATGAATAAAAACATTTTACGACCAATATGGTCACTGCCAACAACATTGGACAAATAGATTCTATGCCCTTCTGAACATCACAATCAGTAAACTCTTTTAAAGAAAATGGAGGATGGTCGGCAGTTGGAAGCGAGGAAAGATAATTTAAGGTAGATGTTTTAGTAGGCCCGTCGAAGGCAACCGAATTAGAGAAATGATGATTAATAGCATCAAGGTTTAAATTTTTTGGGAAACTATCTTGCCGTGACTTGCCAACTCCCAGCGACCTAAGAAACATCCAGACTTTAGCCGGATCATCAGTTTCTAAAGAACTATGAATATGTCGGCGTTGTCCATCCCTACACAACCTATTGCAGTGATTAAGACGCTCATTATAGATGCGCTTATTCTCGTCTGTAGGACTGTACTTAAATCTGGCCTTAGCTGTGAGCTTTTTATTCATAGCAGTCCTAACATTCTGGTCTAGCCAAGGTGTTTCATTTTAACTGGCCGTACTGGTGCATGTTTATCGTAAAGGTTCATCAATGTATTGTTAAACTCAGACACTTTGCTATCGATTGATACAGCATTTACAACATTACTCCAGTCAATTTCACGAGCATCACTTCGCAAACAGTCCAAATCAATTCCACGAAAATTGCGCTGCAGAAGAATTTTGGGTTTAGCTTTGGGTGGGCGGATTTTGTAGGAAAGATAAATCAAGTCATGATAAGAAAAAGCATCCGCAGCGCAATGGCCATTTTACTAACGAAGTTCAAAGATGACACAATTATTAAGTCAAGGAGTTGAGTTGGGAAAATTATGTGTCATCAAGTGGAAGAATGGTCATATTGTTAGCCATTATAAGAAATTCAAAACAAGAAGAACGACTATCTTGTATTTCATCATGATAATGCCAAACCATAACGTTCTTCATAAAATAATGTCAAGTAATTTTAAGATATGTAACTGTCCTGACTCAGCATCATCATCCACTGGTAAAGCCACCTCTGCTGGGTAAAGGTTTTCCGAAGTTTGTGCCTCTCGGTTCAATAAAGATTTTTATCATTATTATTATATACATCTTTACAAAGTCATGAACGATTGCCGTTAAGTTGGAACGTGTTACCTCATTCACCTTATTCGCCGGACATAATTTCTACAGATTTTTACTTATCTCAGTCTTTATAAAATTCTTGGAATGGACACGACTTTCATACCGGAGGGACCATCAAACAACAGTTGTATTTTATTGGTAAAACAGGATTTTTTTATGAAAGGGGAATTCTAATACATAATTAAGTATTTTTTTCGTATATCGACTGTGAACTGGCAACCGGTACTTTTTAATACCATTTTATACTATTTCATACTCCGCAGCATTGCAAGAAATTCCATTGTTTTTAATAACATGTGCAATAAAAATATTTAAAAACTACCTATTTTTATTTAATAAACGCTATATAAACGACGCAAACAACTTCGTCCTGTAAAGTTGTCAAAATTGAGATAGTACCGGTTGCCAGTTCACGATTACTTTGATACCGCACGGACTTTTGGTCGAACCAATAGTTAAGACATATCACACTCACCTTTCGTGTGACCAAATTCATACCATGTTCCTTCAGCATATGCACCTTGAGTAAGGACATGCGTGGATATCTGCAACGGGGCAACCATACACAAATATTCTGGTGAGATTAAATGGTAAAAAAATCTTGCAAGATTAAACAATGAATTGCATTAACATGTTGATATGTATAAGCGCCGCCATTAGTGGCAATGGGAAACGTACGTAAGTGATTGTTCGTATGAAAGTTCGCTGGTTTATTACCGGTGTAATAAACCAGCAACAATTATATATATTCTATGGTGCGAAGCGCAAAATTGTGAAAAATAAGAAAACTCAGACTCACCTCTTGGGACAAATTTGGCAGGCGCATGGTGGTGGCAGCCCTCGATGCACCCTGTCCTCGTGCAACTGCAAAGCCATCTTCTGCGCGTACCGCCGCCCGCAAACCTCGCACCCCCATTTGCGGGTCGCTGAAATATTTTTTTTTTATTTATATTTATTTATGATACCAAGTGACGGGACGAAGAAGTCGTGCACCTGTTGGAAGGCGACACGCCTGTCCATAACAGTTGCAGTGCCACTCAGAGCTTTAAAATGCAAACATCGGAGGGGCACTCCCACTGCGCCCGTCACTCTGAAGTGGTCACTTTGGTATTGGGATACCCGTACAAACGCATAAAAGCATCCGAATAAAATACGTACGTCAGACGCCCCAACCGAATTTCAGTCGAATGTAAACTACGCTACTCAAAAAACGCAACACACCCTTACGCGCCCAGTTACACGAAGCGAAAGTTTTCGCGCAGCCGCCGCGCGGCGACCGCCCAGTTACCACGCCTTCGTGGCAAATCTGAATTCTGTTTACTAGGCAACAACATTTAAATTCCTCTGAATAATACTACCGGTCGCCGCGTAGACCAAATTCAATCCAGTCTCGGCCGCGTGCCCGGGACCCTCATTTAAGTTAAAACGTAAAAGCTAAGAAATAGAGCGTATTTTGCCATGACAGTTAGAGGCACGCGGTCGCTGCGTGGCGGCAACGCGGGGTGGGCACGATGAAATTCGTTTCGAATAAATGCGCCCTACTGCTTCAGTGAATTAAATACCTATAGGCACCGCCAAGATTTAATTGTCGTCACTAGTTTTATTTGTAACTCTTGCGGTTACTAAATAGATAGGAGAGGTGGAAAGATATTCGAGAAGACGCTGGATAAATAATAAAGTAAATGTTATAATCGTAAAACCTCATGGCTGTCTATTCACAGTATAAAGCCATACACACATTGTTATACAGAAAAAATAATTGTATTTTTAAAATTTTAATAATAATAATAATAATTTAATTTCATCCATGTGTTTACAACACCACTTTTATGATGGTTTAAGAAAATATAAAAGTATAACAATTAACTTTATACGAGTTTTCCAATAATATAAATCATTCACGTCACTCATACACTCATGGCGGTATATTAATAAAAATGCTGTTTACTTTCCGTGCTAGTCGAAAATGGAATTAATTTGGTAATCCTCAAAAATTGACGTTACGGTAAAAAATCTAACGGAACGGCAAAAATTAGTGAGCAAATTCGAAAAAAATGGCGGTTTTTTTCTAGTTACGGTTTTTATACGAATGAATTTTTAATTTCAGCTATTACGTTTTGAGTTTAACAACTTACTATTTGTAACCTTTTTAAGCTGATGTCTCTACAATGCTCTTTAAATAAATAAATAATGGGTGAGCGGTACCAGTGCTGTGCACCTATTTGACCACTGCTGACGAAATAAGCCTTTGACGAAATAAAATAAACCTTTGACAAAATCAATTAAAACCTGGCAACTTACGGTTATGCGTGTCCATGTGAGAGGCGAGCGCGGCCTTGAGCTTGAACGAGCGCTGGCAATGGTCACAGATGAATTGGACGTCGCGATGTTTCGATAGGTGGCGCTGTGGGGTTAACATTTCAATTACATCCTACAGTGAACCACACGTTAAAACTATTATTAGCAGAACCTATGTACATGTAAAAGATTACAATAACAAAGTGCTAAAGCTAGGGAGGGGCGGAGTGTCCGTTCTCTTTACTTTTTTGTTCTCTGGTCTCAAGTTTTTTTTTTTGTTTATAACATCAAGTGACGGGACGAACAAGTCGTGCACCTGATAGTAAGCTACACGCCTGTCCATGACAATTACAGTGCCACTCAGAGCTTTAAATTGCAAAGATCTGAGGAGCACTGACACGCGCCCGTCACCCCGAGACGTAAGTTGACAAGTCCCATGTGCCTGTAATTTCACCAGCACCCTTACCCTTCAAAACCGAAACACAGTGATGCTGATGTTGTGACACCGACTCTTGACTCAGTTGTCAGGAACTTTATTATTACGTAACTATTTGATAACAATAATGTATGTAACGTATTTTTCTTATAACGAATCTGGGTAGATATTGCGAGGTGTGATAAGATAACAGATGGAGTAAAGCGACAATAGAATGGTGGACCATAGACGTTGCAATACGTCCGAAACGTCGAGGTAATTAAAATATGTTTTATACGTGATTAAGTCCCGAATTAAGAACCAAATAAGAGAATGGTGGTCAAGAAATGGTATTGAAAACAAGGAAAATCCATATTCACGCTTCTATAGTCCATTTCTTTAGGTACTTAACTAAATGTAAACAATCTCGAGATGTCTATTTAATGAAATATACATTTATAAAATGATTCTTACTTACCTTCAAATACAAAATACAAATACTTAGCTTCATACGAAATTGCATACCTATTTTTATATCTCCTGATTTGTAAAACATATGTTTCAATAAAAAGATGTATCAAGATTGTTTACATTTAGTTAAGTACCTAAACAAACGGACTATACTCTTATTACAATTCCCTCATGCTCGCACCTCACATCCCCTCACCTAATTACATGCATATACATATACACATTTACACGCACACTTAAAAACACACTTACACACTTATACACAACGAATTATCGCAATTGTCAATGTACGAGTATATCATTCCAAGTTGCAATTATATACTCAGATAATTCGAGCCACTTTGCATCGTCAGTACTAAATGTCCTTGGATTAAATAATGTTTGATTGATCAATAACTTATTGAAGTTTGAAACTAGTGTACTAAACGTCATTTTCAAAAGGTTTTGTTGAAAATTTGAATTAGCGAAACCGGGAAAAACTCTTCAATGTTAATAGAAAAATAAAAAAGGCAAGTTGGCTCGATTTATGTGTTTGGGAGTGTATTTTCCAAGGGGTGGAGCCCTGGTGATCTGAAATACAGACCTTACGTCTAGTTTAGGGACCAGTCTCCCACAGTACAAATATTGTTTTTATGTATTGTTCTTGATATTAAGCTCAATGTACCACCTATATTGTGGTGAGAAAATAAACATCTTAAGCCTATTGGCCACGCCACCCGGCCGTGCGGTACTCACGGAGAGGGCAGACTTGGAGGTGTACTTGGCGCGGCAGTGCATGCAGGCGTAGGGTCGCGCCCCCGTGTGCAGGTGGTGGTGCGAGTCCAGCGCCGTCTTCGAGCTGAACCGCGCCGCGCAAAGGTTGCACGAGAACTGGTGCTTCGCGGCAAATCTGCAGCAGGGCCAGCATGACCAGCAGGTCGATTAACCTTACGATAACTCAGTTCAGTTGTCGACCGCTTCGATTTCATATCGTACGATTTCTTTTCATTTTTATTCACAACACCCGAATTGAACGTCAAACTGTCGTATTCGAAACCGAACCGAAATGACGTCACACCCGTACGATTACTCGAACTTCTCGATCAGCAAATGCTACAAACGCTATTCAGAACACAGTTATCGAATGAAAGTTACCAAGTCTTATTGTTTACAAAGCAAGAATGTAATATGGAAATCTCTTATTATTTTCAATAAAGTCTGGATTTTGTTCAAATTTATTAATTTATTTGAATGCAAGAATTTTCATTTTTGTATTCTTATTTCACCGACTAACTCCGTAAACGCTATTGGATAACAATATCGTATCCGAATCCGGGGGCTACTCTCGATCTCCGTCCGACATCTGTCCGAAACAATTACTGTCAAATAAGTAATATTCGACAAAATTAAAAGACAAGTATCCAGTATGAAGCTTCATTCGCATCACGGATCTATTCATTTGGTCAAGTATTGCTTATTTGGCAGTAATTGTTTCGGACGCATGTCGGACGGAGATCGAGAGTAGACTCCCAGATTCGAACGTTTATCGCGTATGTTCTGAATAGTTAGCCCTTTGATTCGAGAACTATATCCAATCCAACGATTCGGTTAAAATACCGAAGAGTTCTGAATCGCATGCTGGTCGGTGACTAATCAACGCTCTGTGTAAAAACTTTATTAAATTTGACCTACTTATGCTGTCCCGAGTTTTTTCTTTCCATACAATGAAGTCATACTTATAAGAAACTGAGTCTATTAGCATTAAAAGAAAATTAGTAAATTTTATTAATTTTACATGAAAACCCGATTTTTTCGTTCCATACAATAAAATCCCTTCATGAAAATAACTAAACTACTACTAACGAACTTAAAAAAATTTTGATCAATTTTGTTCATTTTTATGGATAGACGTTTGACCAAAAAATTTACTATGCCAAAATTCTTTTCACAAAAAACGACTTAATGGTTTCTAAGACAGTTTCCTTGTATCTTCTATGGTTTCGAATTTCCCCATACTGTTCCATTACAAAAAACGTTTTGTGTAGCTCAAAGGTACTTCTTACTCGTAACTCTCACAATGGTATTTTTAAATTTCCGTATTTGTTTTTGTATGTTCCACCATATTTGGAAAAAATATTTATTATTTACATCGTTAAACACACAACACCATCAGAGATACCAGTCCGGATTCGAACCCATGACTCTCTGTTTGAGAGGCGATAGATCAAACCATTAAAGCTTCGATATTATATATGCAGTACTAATTAATATGTTTTAATTTATTCTAATTTCCATTATTAATTAATAATAAATTTAACTTAATAAAAATTCATATTGTTACAATAAAATAATTTTGTAAAACAATGTAGCGTAAATTGGAATATTTCTTTGTAAAACCAAAAATAAGTAAAAACTTTTGTAACTCGTGAAAAAATAGGGTGGGTTGCATTAATATTAGACATAACTGGTTAATGACTGCACCACCTCAGTCAACCGTGACCATGGGACCTGTAAAGAGCCAGAAATGTCGGTTTGTTTGTAAAAACAAATATACGCGATTTTAGTCCGCAAAAATAGTTTATTTCCTATGTGTAACAATTGCGAAAACCCGAGAACTCGATTAAATTAACATTTTTATAAAATGTCACTTTCAGATATATTATTATTATTATAATTTTTGCAATTAATAGACTGTTGGCAGCCCCATAGGAGAACGGTCGCTTCTCAATTGGGAGTGCCACCATTGGAAACCCTATGATAGCTTGTACAGTCAAGAGTACGTCAAGCTTGACACTTTGTACTTTGGACCGTTCTTATCGTAAGTGGCATAGAGTTGGATTTAAATCTTAAGTGTCAAGCTTGACGTGCTCTTGACCCTGTACCTATAACTTTAATTAGTCCAAGACCTGTCTTGTTGCAATTTGCACAACCCTAGGAAAATGTGTGAAGTCCACTCAGCTGACCACTTAGCAGTGGGACTTTTATTCATGATATCAAGTGACGGAACGAACAAGTCGTGCGCCTGGTGGTAAACGACACGCCTGTCCATAACAGTTGCAGTGCCGCTCAGAACTTTGCCACTGCACTGTGCCCATCACCTTGACTGAAAAGTCTCATAAATATGCCTGTAATTTCATCAGCACATACATGGATGTATGATGATAAAAATACAAGTTAAAGAATATACCTTATTTATATAATACTCACTTAGCCCTGGCTTTCATCTCAACCGGATCAGGCAGAAAGGGTCGACCGCGACCCTTCGTGCCGAGGCTGCGCGCGCGCGCCTTTAACACTACCACCGCGTCCACCGCGCGGCAACGCTTCTCGTGTTTATATAGGTTTGTTGTACTGAAATCACATATCAAATTACAGTAGATGATTCCCACCAGGATGTTTAACGCGTCCTAGAGGCATATGGTGTCTCAAACGCGTAGCAGTTTTCATCCACCGTTTTAAAAAAAATATATATAAATTATTAAATTATAAAAACATTACCATAATCGCTTGGAACACCGTGTCTCAAGACGGTGCGGTGTTCCAAGCGGCGGGTTAACCTTCTAAGGCCCCGAGTACATCAAAATGTACGGACAACGGCACATCAGACTACACATTTTTGTTCGAAAATCGCTTCCAGTGCAACGGAACAAGATACGTCAATGTGTAGCTTGATGTGCTGGCGTGTGTACATAATATGTGAAGTGATTCAGACCCAGATAATATTATTCCTATGATCACATACACGCTCAGTGTATATATACATTATAATAAAATTATAGCATTCAAATTTAGCGCTATATATTTTATATGACCATAGCGTATCTAGAAAAATACTTTGAAGAATCCCGGTTGCGTTTTTCATAAAAAACTAAGGACGTACTTGCTTGGGCTTGAAGTATGTAATTATATTTAATACATTTCAATGTACAGTCAATGCTCTAAGATATCGCGGATCCTTTGGTTCTTAGGGTCGTATTCTAGAACTCTACTCAATGCTCAAGTCAGGATTGCACTGGAAACACAAGTAATGGAAATACGACTCTAATGACAGGGACTTAAGTATGATTTCGAGTGCTTTAAACCATACACAAATCCTGACTTGAGCATTGAGTAGAGTTCTAGAATACGACCCTAAGAGCTTACTTACGAATTCAACAGAAAAATGTAATGAAAGATCGAATTGGCTTATACTTAAAACGTCATTCCCTAATAATGCTAGAATAAAGTCATACGAAAATGAATTTTAGGGTGGACCGGTGAAAAAAATGTTGTTTAACACCTTTCTTCAAAATGATCTGCTCAGAACCTTATTAGTACCTAGCAGTAGAGCTACATGTGAAAGAGTTCATCCAGGGTAGTACTGCCACCTTACCTATTTCTACCGCCAAGCGGTAATGTAAGCATTACTGCGTTCCGGTTTTGTACCTAAGGGAGCTGGTGAAATTACAGGCACATGGGGCTTGTCAACTTATGTCCCAGGGTGTCGGGCTTAGGTGTTCCTCAGATCTTTGCGATTTAAAGCTTTGAGTGGCACTGCAACTTTTATGGACAGGCGTGTCGCTTTCCACAGGCGCAGGACTTGTTCTTCCAGTCACTTGGTATTATAAAAAAAACCAAATTGACGGACTGTGGACAAGGTGCACCCTTTTTCCCTTAACTACCAAAATCATTAGGGACACCATCCCCCGTAGCATGGCTCATGATAGTCGCGACGCGTGCGATAAAATTGAAATAAGCGCTCGCTATTGGCTGTCTCAATCAGATCTGATTTATTTCAAATTTATCGCGCATGTCGCGACTATCATGCGTTGCCATGCTACGGGGGCAGGTGTCTCTAGACCGCGTGCCGTGTTAAACAGACACACACGCACGTATAAATACGCGTACCAACTTGGCTTGCGCAAGTTTTTTTTTATGATACTAAGTGACAGGACGAACAACGGTAAGCGACACGTCTATCCATACTGTTATGCAATTTTCTGTTAGGCCAATTTTCTGCGATGATCGAGACAATGAAACTGCAGTGCCACTCAAAGCTTTAAATCTCACAGATTTGAGAGGCACTGCCTCAGCGCCCGTCACCCTGAGTCATAAGTTGAAAAGTCCCATGTGCCTGTAATTTCACCAGCACCCCTACCCTTGACAGCCGGAACGCAGTAATGCTCACATTACTGCTTGGTGGCAGAAATAAATTAGGTGGCAATACTTCCATGGACGAACTCTTTCACAAGGAGCTCTGCAACTAAGTTTACTCGCAGTGAAACTCAACCATCTTAACTGGACCATTGTACATTTAGAGGATTTATTTTCTTTTCACAATAACAACATGTGAGTAGATGTAAAGCTTTGGCTTCCCAGGAATTTTTAAAAGAGTTATACGGAGTACCAATGTATGTTGACTGGAAAGTTCAAACGCAAATGGTATCTTATTGACAGAAAGATAAGTTAGTACCTCCGAAAGTCAACTCCACAAGCGTAACAGACGAGATATCTCTGACCATGTTTCTCTTGCCAGTGCCGACCTGCAGCGGGCTGCGTCTCCGAGATAAATCCGCACTTTACACATCTGCAAAGAATGTGAATGAGATAAATAAAACTATACCACTAAAAGTGGAGATAGACAGGACTGAAATCCACTTGAAAAGTGTAGGAAAAGTAAAGTTGTTAAAAAACTTTTGCATAAAAAAAATTATTTCATCATTCAATTAAAATTTCCGTGAAATAGTGATTTGTATCAGTCTGTTTACCTACTAATCACGTCACGCGTTCTTTGTTGACAAGTAGTGCCGTTTGCGAGGCATTTTTTCTAAATACGTTTAAACATTTCAGGGACTTGAAAAGCTTTATTTAAGTAAAATAATATTTTTTTGACTGTATATATTCATTATGGTTAATTTTAAATGTTTTTTGAAAATTATCGTTAAGTTGTTCAGGTAGTTTTAAGAAAACAATTTAAAATTTCCTGTACAACCTAACTGTAGGAAAGTGGAAGCGACAGCCTCAGTTGGAGGACAGACTTGCTTCAGCTGTGCTAAATACCAACTAGCCACCTTGGATTCAATCGACAAGCATGCCAAGAGGCTTATAGGTGACTTGGAATTAGTAGAGGCGAAACTACAGAGCCTTGAACACCGCCGTAAAGTTACTAAGGTAATAATTCTACAGGATATGTCACGGAGAGTGTGCGATGGAATTGCATAATTTGATTCCGCCTTCCCCTTCATCGCGGGGCTATACGTACACAGACGTACACCCCTATGTTGTGGATATTCCCAAAATTCGCACGAATCGTCTCGCTTCCACATTTATATGGCGAGGGAGAGAGTGGAATTCCCTGCCTGCTTACTTATTCCCCGAACGCTATAACTTCGACCTTTTCAAGGCAAGAGTGAATAGGCATTATTTACGTGTGCATGCTACATCGTCGACCTCATCAATCACTTTCCATCAGGTGAGATGGAGCTCAAACGCACACTTATTTTTTTATAAAAATAAAAATCTCCTGTGCTAAATGCACACCTAGGGCGCGGCCGCACTACTAAGGCGACTGCGACGCGACGGACGGTGATTTCGAGAAAACAAAGTCATATAAACATGTGTCGGTGGCCGCACTGCAGAAACGACAAGCGAAATTTATTTGTTCATATCGTAAAGAAATTTCAAATCTTCTACAAGCAAGAAGATCCGCATTAAATAAAATTATTCAGCGACCTGGGACGACACTTGAATTTCGTTCGATCATATCAAACGTTTATAGATGAACTGAAATGTGATGAGAAAAACTTTTGGGATTATTTGAGAATTAAATATTTTGTAATAATAATTTTGTAAACGATAAATTACCGTCATGATCTAGTGGGAACAGCTAGACACCACAGTCGTTTAACGATAAAATAATCGTCCACGGCACAGCCACGACAGATAGTCGTGATATGGGAACAGGCTAGCGCGACAGTTGTCCAGTGATAAATAAAACGTCACGACATAGTGGAAACGCGCTCTTATTCTTCCCATTACCATGACAATCTGTCGTCGTAACGACAAAAAAATCATGTTCGACAATTAATCGGGTCGTTCTATATGTGAACAACTTCATTTAAATATACAAGCCACAACATTGTAAACTGCACGACTATCTGGTGTCATGACATAGTGGGAACGGACCCTTACTGATATGGGACTTAACTTGAATTTTTAGTCTGATGTTAGATATTATGTTTGTTCTTAACACTCTACACCAGGATCTGCACACTACACCATACCATACCATCGACGTAAATATTGCCACATGAAAAATTTATTTTTGTAAAAATTTATATGAAATTATAGTCCCCACTTAACCATCCCGTCAAGTCAACTATGGCTTGATCGGATGCAAAAAGGGTAAACTACTAAGTTTCATCTTTGTTTTCGTCATGATGAAATGATGATGGTTTACCAGCAAGCAATAAGTATAATAAAAAGTTTGATTGGTCTCTTCCAAAATCAGTTTTGATTCTCATGAAATCTACAGATGGCACTAGTCATTTACACTGCTACCACAATTACAACCATTTTACAACCAAATTTTGAACAAATAGGACACCTATTTTATTAAAACTGGATTTTGATAGTACTTAGTAACATGTGGCAACACTAGCACTAAAAACCAATGGCTTATTACTTGACTTGCCCTTGAAATACTCAGTCATTGGCAGCTTTGCCCTTTAAGCAATTTTGAAACCAGAACATGTTTGAAAAAGAACATGCCGTTCTAATTACATTTGGTAACGCAACAGTTAAATGATAAGCATGATGATTTTATGAGAGGGAATGATTCAATTTTTAATTAAATCAGGAAAAATTTTTTCAAACTTACTCAAACATAGCGCCATTCATAATAAAGTAATCCCTTGGAGGCAACGGAGCCTTCACATTCCTCATGATTTCAGCCAAGGTTTCCACCAGCGTCTCTGAGTCCTCGGCCAATTCCGGATAAGACTGTTGAAGATCTTTTACAAAAGATTTACATTCTGAAGGCTTGAGCATCTTGTACCGGCGCTCCTCTTTGTTACCTTTTCGTGTTTTACTCCGTTTTGAAATTTTAATGTACTCTTCTTCTTCTTCCGATTCGACGTAATCGGAATTCGCATTTGGAGTATATTCGTCATCGTCATCTTCATAATCAAGAAATTCAGCTTGAGATTCTTCTAATTCCTTCTTTATTTCAAGTTCTGCTTCAGTCTGAAAATTCTGCAATACTTCTCCATGTTTCTCCACTGTTTCTATGAGTTCTTCAACTTCCAGTTCTTCAATAGGAGTTTCTTCCAAAACTTCTTGTCTAACCCTCGTAGGTTGAAACTTTGTTCCCTCATCTTCATTTCCAACTATAACCACAATCATGTCGTCATCTTCCTCCATTCTGACCTTCTTGGGCTTTGTTTCCTAACCCTTGAAAAATATAATAAAAGTAGAAATAATTTCATATAGCCCCGCCAACTATACATGCCAAGTATTTGATGATAAAATAAAAACGCAAAGACATCAGACGGGTCAGCCATTATATATTTAGTGCAAAAACAGTTTTACATTAAATCTTTATCCAACTGCAACGAATACTTACCATAATATTTTAAAATCAAAGGCAAACGCAAAGCTAAATCCGCTGTAAGTAAACGGAAATATTCTCTAACAATTACAAAATTGAACAATATTTTCCTTTGCCTCACGCACTCGTTTAAGATAATGGATGAACAGAATGCAATATCGTCATAATTACCATTGGACGATATGTTACTTTGGCATTTAGTTAACCAATGAAATCGGATATCACGGATTGTAATTATTGAGAGCGAGGAATGTGATTGGTTCATAGTACTCGATTCTAAATAATAATCATCATACTAGGGCTGAATTGAATATCGATACGAAAAAACCGGATTTTTAATTTTTGACCGTTTTCGTTTGTAAAATTATTATTATTTACACGTTTGATAGAAGTAATACAGTATATTCATTTAATGTGCTATTCTATACACTTGCAATTTGTTTCGGCCAAAGACATAATTTATTGCAATGATCTTATTTTTTGTGAGAAATACTTAATATTCTGACTGACTGAATAATGTCAAAGTTGTTAATGTCGCTTGACGGGAAGAAAATAAAATTATCTCGTGTCACTATACTGTTTCTATGTTCAATTGTCTTGTTTTATTGTAAAATATGAAAGCATTGACTGCAACGACATAAAGTTCGCCGCGAATAGTTTGTGGCCGCGAATACCTATCGGCGTGGTGTCAACATTTCTCCCATGTTATTAAACACCTTACTGGCAAATTTCTCCTTATCTAGGGTACATAAAAAAGAATATGAAAAAATCTGCTTGACATTAACTGCCATGCATATTTAAAAAAATGTTGTTTTCTGTATGGTCTGTGGTTCTCAGAAGAATTGTAGGATTCGCTCTGGAACTTTTGGAGGGAAAAGTATCGTTTTTATTTTGACTTTCAATTATTTTGTGAAGTCTAGTTTAAAGTGGAATAGGATAGTGCTATTGTGCCTTAATCGAAGATTAAAACGCAAAATTATACGAATCTCGAACTAAAATACCCGTATCGGCCTGTTTTAAGAAATCCCGAGTCAATCCAAGCACGCCGCGCCGCAAATTGCCTATCCTCTTTGTGGCGGCCATATTTACAGAAACATAATTAAACTTCATGTTTAGTCTTATGGCTTTGCCAAAGCCTTAATAAATTAAAAAAAAAAAAAAAAAAAAAAGAATTGTAGATTTGTATTGTATGGCATATCATATTGTAGGGCGGTAAACTATACTATTAAAATATTAATTATTAATGATACTTTATGATGGGTGCATCATCTGAATCTAGTTCTAACATAACCAAGTTACCTCTAAGTCGTACACTTTCGGCTCTCGGTACTTCACTAGAGCAAAGTGTAGCGAACTTCAAAGGTAACTTACACATGGTGTTTAGGGATATAATACATGTTTTAATAACCTGATAATCGCACTCTATAAACCATGATCAACAAGTTTCCAGCAGAGAAATAATTTTAGGTCTACAAATGGGTGTAGTTGTGTGTTTTCTGATTGCAGACCTACAGAATGAACTGCAACAGCTATCCTTAGAGGTTGAGAAATACAAAAGTGAAATGACAGACCAAAAGGAAAAATGTGAAAGGTATGTATAATGTAAACTTTAAACCCCCTCCTGCTCCACCTCCCTTCCTCTCACGCTAACTCCGCTCCGGTATGTTACAATATTCTTCCTTCCAAAGGATACAGTGAAAACAATTTTGTGGCATTAGTAATTTTTTTACTTTCTTCAATTTACAAATGCATAGCATTTTTTTTTTATCTAGTTTTAAGAAGCCTGAAATGTTCACACATTTATGTCGGGCTCATAAGAAATATTTTTAGTATTGAAGAAAACTACTAAGTAATTTTAAATGGTGTCATTATCAACTCACCATTTATGTCCCACTTCTGGGTACAGGCCTCCTCTAAGGGAGTTTTTGGGGCATACTGGCCCAATGTGGGATGGCAACTTCACACAATTTCCAAGCAATGTAAACCTACAATTAGCATGTTTTATTACGATATTTTATTTCACATTTAAGGACAGACATTGCTACTCATCATCAACCCATTTGTATGTGTCACTGCTGGGCATGAGTCTCCAAAAAAAAAAGGTTAGGTAGTTAGGTAGGTTAGGCCATAGTCTGCTACTCTAGCCTAATTGCGGTTTGGGGATTTCACAAGTTGTGAACTCCTTCACTGAAAAGCTCATGATACATTTCAAATTAAATTTTGCACATAAATTTCGAGAAACTCTGAGGTGTGAGCCTAGATTCGAAAACCACGGCCCACTTGATAGACAAGTAGGTCATACTATTAGGGTACCATGGCTTTTAAAATTGCTACTAAACATTCCCAATTCTCACTAACTTAGAAAGTGATAGATATGTGACACCTTAGGTATTCAAATGCTGGACCTATCATTGCGAGCCAACCATAGTGTGGTGATAGGCCAGTGGGACAATGGTTGCCTCTCAATTTGCTTAATTTAAACAAAGTTTTTGGAGAATAATTGTCAATTTTTTTTTCGTATTTTTAAATGTTTATATATTCATGTAAATACTTAGTTAAATATAATTAGTTAATGCTTATAATTACCCTTCAAATAGAAAACTAAAAGTGTAATTACGTTGTATATTGTTTCCAGCAAAACCTGCATAGGTTCACAAGCCTTAAAGAAGATCATAGATGCTAAGGTTGCAATAATTAATACAGTTGGTAAGATAATGTAAATCTTACATAACTCTTACATTATCAGAGGATATCTGTACAAACACACACGCACGCACGCACGCACGTACGTACGCACGCACGCACGCACGCACGCACGCACGCACGCACGCACGCACGCATACACGCGCACACAACACACAAACATTGCACACATTATCTTCTTAGAGCAATCCTCTACTATATTCGCACTTTGTGCACTTTTCACATTACTGGAATCAAGCTCCTCATCATTCCCATATAACTACTCAAAACATGCAGATTTTTTTAACTAACCTATCTCACATGGGTTACAAATTCATATTGTGGTGCCTCTAGCATAACCACTACGGTGTTGCTAAACATGTTAACATAAAAATCCAATAGAAAACAAATCTGGGTTACTAAGACTATCAATTATCCAAAGAAATGTTTTTTACAATAACGGTTTTGTTGGGAAGAAGAAGTTTAGAAATTTAATGGATTTGATATTTCACTTTAAACATCCTGGCTGTTGATTGAAATAGTGAAATGGTTAAACCCCAGGTGATTACTAGGCTAGTTTGTCAAATTAAGATAGCTGTTATGTTTATTCAGTAACATAATGTACAGAGAAAACTAAAGACTACTTATGCGATTTAATGTCAAAATAACACATGTACCTGAACTAGGAAATTCCTGTATTTCAGAAACAAACACACACGCACTTGTTATGTAAAGTTATACTATTCTGATTTGACCATTGGCTTTGTATTACTGTATTACAAAGGCATAATTATAACACTCGATCGTGTAGCAGAGCTTTTAATGCAGCATTCTAATCCGTTACAATAATTTCAGCATTAACTGCAGTAAAACTGAATGAAACAAAGAGCTTTGCGGTTGTTAATGAAATATTAAAAATACTATGTGGAGAGGTAACTGTGCTAACTCCTGTAAAAGAAAACAGAAATATTAAAACTGAACATAAAAACCCTTCACCGTCATATACTCCTGAAAATGACATAACCAGTCCTAAACAAGAACTTCCTGGGCAAGTTGAAACATATAAAGACGAGTCGGTATTAGAGATTGACGGTACACCTGGAAGAGTCAGTCCCATTATAGCTCTTAAGAAGAAATTTAAAAACAGCTCTAGTCTTAGTAATGTGTCTGGAAATTTAATTGATTCAAAAGACAAGAAGAAATGTCCAGTTGAATGGTAAGATACTGTAAATATAATGTATTACTCATATAACTTATTGACATTTTTAATTGGCGATATTTATTCCTCATGATTTCTTTGACATTTTTATTATAAATAAATATATTCAAATGTTACTTACCTTATTAGAGGTGAGCAAAGGTACACACATTCATCTCAAAAAAAGAGATCTCTTTCAGCCAATCCAAGGAAGTGAGAGCAAAAATTATAAGAGGACTACACTGTACAAGATAGAAAGAATGACAAATATTATAAACAGATTAATTCAAAATTACATATCGAGTTCTTAGGTTTTCGCGATTGTTATACATAGGAAATGAAACTATTTTTCCGGATTGAAATCGCGTATATTTGTTTTTTCAAACAAACCACCGTACCACCAGTTTGGGATCCAGTATTTCCTCTAATGAAAAATCCCAAACAGACATAAGACTGCAGTACTAATTAATATGTTTTAGTTTATTCTCATTTCTATTAATAATTAATAATAAATTGAACTTAATAAAAATTCATTCAATAAAATAATTTGTAAAACTTAATATAGCGTAAATTGGAATGTTTTCTTTGTAAAATTAAAAGCGGGTGCAGCGGCAGTGCCCCTCAGATCTTTACGATTAAAAGCTCTGAGCGGCACTGTAACTGTTACGGACAGGTGTGTTCCACCAGGCGCACAACTTGTTCGTCCGATCGCTTTGTATCATGAAAAATAAGCGAAGGTGTCAGAAATTTCTTGTTTTGGGTAACCATATTGATTTAATAACATACCCTTTTTAATTTTTATTTGACCAATTTTTATATTTCGTACAGGTCAACCCCAGAGACAAAACAAATAAGGCTAAACTTCCCAAGTCCAAATCATAGAAAAGCAGGCAGTGGTAGGATGAGACAATCGAGGTTGGACGCCGTCTTTACCAAGGCCACCAGTGTTGTAGATTTGACCAATTCCTCTGAGTGCGCTGGAAGTGAAAGTTTGTGCGGTGTTAAGGTAAAACTAGTTAATTACCTATAGTCATCGAGTATATAACCAGAAAGAGAGACGAAATGTCATTTAATCTGTTTGAAAACTATTCTGCTAAATCATTACGGTGACAACTGCGCTCCGATTGGCTAGCCCGAATTCGAAACCATTGCCGGGTGTCGTCAATTGTTTCACTTCAAATCGACCAGTTTAACTTGTGCTTTGCTATAATAGACGAAAATTGGAAAATTACATATTTAATCACCAATTAAATGTGATTCCGTTCGTTTTGTAATTAGATGTTTTGCTGTTTTTCCCACACAACCAAATGGAACAGCCCACCATTGTTAGAGATATTATCTTTATTACAATAAATACAGAATATTTTTGGTATATACAGAAGTGTGCACACAGGTCAGTTGTTGGTGTTGTGCTATTTCAGCTTTCTAATTTGAGATTTCAGCGCAAACGAGTGTTGATATTTAAAAGTGATATAAGGCCCATTTGCCTGATGAGTTGCCAGTGTCGGATGGCCCATATTTCGTCATTATTTATCAAATCACATAAAAATAATCTTTATTTCATAGATAAGCATTATTACACTTGAAATCGTCACATTGGTTACACTGTACCGCTCATTCGTAAGGCAGATTTCCCTGGGAAGAATGAGCAAGAAACTCTAGAGTTTGCTCTTTGTAAATAACATTTGTACACTTTCAACATTTACAATATATTTCTTTTGCTTTGAAACATCAACTAAACGGGTTACTACCACGGCTTTTTGACATCCAAGTGCGCATACGTTGTATAAATAACCTATAGTATGAAGTTTTTGTTTCACTATAGTTTTAAACCTCGTGAATGGCAAATTTTGTATATCAACCAGAAGCGTATACATTGACCCTTAAATTAATTTGTGACTTTGTGAAGACGACTATCAAGAACAGGAAGTTTATTTTTATTCCTCGTATTAATGTTATGTCTGTCACTATTTTTTATAAAGAAATTACTATTCCTCTTAACATAAATTACGTTTTCATAAATATACTGTGACCCTAGTGTAAGAATGTTAATTTCCTTAAGCTTATCTCTCAAAGGTAATCTGGGGCCCAGATTGTAAATGTTCCTGAACCGCACGTTTTTGCAGGACAAAGATTTATTTATTTATTTGGTATCCCAACAGAACATGTACAATATTCAGTGCAATATAAAATTTAATATCTATCTTAATGTATATATCCCAGTAACAGGGAAACTCTGCATTCTTAATTATGACATCAGACTAAAAAGTAAGGAACAGAAACAAACAAAAAAAAAGCAAAGTACAATCCTCTCAACGTAGCACGTGAGTTGTCATGTACAAAAAAAAATGTGAATTTGGAAAAAATACTACAGTGAAACTTTTTATCTTTGCAATACAAAAAAAATCACTGAAATTCAGTAATTTTTTGTTTGAATCGGTTATATGTGTCATTAAAAATATCTATTTCAATAAAATCACTATTAATTGCATTATACTCTCTACATAAGCGTAAAATTGGGGAGTTTAGAGCGAGATTAATTCTACAATGCGGGATATATTTTTTTATTTTATATCTTGGAACATTGAGACCCACTTTATCAATGATTACTTTACAATCTATTTGACCATTAAATAGTTTATGCAAAAAACAAAGATCAAGTAATTTACGTCTTTTACATTATGATAGCATTTTAAAGAATTTTAGACGGTTCTCATATGGGTATTGGTGGGAGATCTCTGGGCTATAAAACGCATTATGTCTAGTAAAGGAGCGCTGTAAGCTTTCAAGGCGCTGAGATTGCACAGCGTAAGCAGAATTCCAAGCAATACTCGCGTATTCTAAGTGACTACGTACAAGCGCATTAAATAGCGTAATTGTGGTTTTTATGCTAAAACCCTTGGAGTTGCGTTTAATGAATCCCAACATTCTCCCAGCTTTCCTAGCAATATTGTCTATGTGAGTGGTAATTTTTAATTTATTGTCTAAAGTAACACCTAAATCTTTTACCTCCATTACCTCATACAAGCTTGCACCACCTTAACTATAGTTGGCTGCTTTTTGTGGTGAATTTTATAAAAAAGAAATATTTATATTAAGTACCATTGCATTTGAACGACACTGCTGTTCAACATTATTCAAGTCTGTCTGCAGTAGTGCCATATCAGATTTCTGAAGTGTCAGAAATTCAGAGTGCCATGAAGATTCTATTGATATGGGCGGCATTACCCCATAGCAAAATGCCGTATATCATTAGACTGTGAAAGTAGCTGAAGTAAACCAATCTTAAACCAAAATTTCTGGTTATATACTCGATGCCTATAGTATAATCCAAGGAAGAACAAAAACAATGGAAGTGCTTTAAGCCTCGATTACTATCAGAATCGCTATCGCCAAAACTCACACATTCGTAATTCAAAACAGTATGAAATCTTAATTTAAGAAGAAATAACATATTATTATGGACTGTTAATATAATTTGAGCTTTATTCTGTTGGCATATCGAAAGTTCAATACCTATTGTTGCAAGTTACGACGTTTTGATTTTCATTGTGCTGCCATCTAGCGGTAAATAGCTGAAAGACGATGAACTCGAGATGTTTACTTAGTTCTCCAAAAAAGAAGCGACCTTATTGTAGCAGTATATAGTATAAAGTTTACTTTCGTTTCTTGTAACAAAAACAATATTCTTCTAATCGTATCGATGGCATACAAATTTATGATAAACAAAAATTTAAAATTTATTAAAATGAAAATACTGTTCAGGACGAAAACGTGTTCGCGCCCATATGATTTATAATATTGTAATTTATTATTGTTAATTTCGTTTAAGATTTTGGTAAATAAACGAGAGGGAGAGAGGGGTTTTGCTTGGAGTCTGTAGGGTTCTCCCGTCCCGCTCCTGCATTGGTGCCGTCCCGCTCGCACACTTGAAAAGAATGCGAGCGGTGCGGCGGGCCAGCGATGATATAAAAGACGGAGCGTTGGGAGCGGAACGACATTCCAAAACTGACTGCATAAGAATCCGAAGGCGTTCCAAATCTCACCGCGATCCAAGCAAAACCAAGATCAAGAAGCTCAATTTACAACCAGGCGTTTTTCCACTTAATCCGCCCCCACAAATACTAACATTTTTGCACTCCAAAGTAGCACAAAAAAAAAATTCTACGATTTTCGAGGTTTTTCGCGATATAATTGACACGAACATTACGTACAAAACGACAATGGCGGACTGAGATTAAGCATGTGGAATTTCGCGTACTGTTGGCACACGTGTCATGCAAACTAAGCATTCCTCTGTATTTATTGTTCGGTAATGTGGCAGTACTTCCCTAGACTAACTCTTTCACAATTAGCTCAACTACTACTAATTATATATAACTGGATCAGCATTCAACCAGCTCCTTATAGGTGCCCAGTAACGAACCGTTTTCATGATGCTAAAAATACATTTACTTTTTCAGCTTCTAATTAAAAAGGAATCAAGTGATAACGATGACACAATACTACCATCACCAACAAGTGGGCCCGGCCTACCTGTTAACTTTCTCTTGTAAGTATAATCATATTGGTTTTGAATTTATTCGAATATGATTACTAAGATTTAACACTTTTAAAATATTCGTACAGTAAATAAATTACGCGAGCCTAACGTAGCTTATGGCTGCCAATTTGATTCAAATTCAAAACACTTATTCCAGACCATTAAAATGTATATGTATAACACTATACTCTAGCTAAATTCGATATAGAATATTTAATAACAAATCCTTGCTATGCAACTAATGATGGCAGGTGTAAAGAACATCTTTTGTCAATGCTTATTGTTTGGGTTATTATTATTTTTATTACTGTTATGTCAGGTGACGGGACGTACAAGTCGTGCGCCTGACTAAACTGCAACAGTTGCAGTGCCACTCAGATCTTTAAATCGCAAAGACCTGAGGTGCACTGCCACAGCGCCCGTCGCCCTGAGATAAAAGTTGACAAGTCCCATGTGGCTGTAATTTGGAAACTGGAACACAGTAATGCTGACATTACTGTTTGGCGGCAGTACCTACTAGTGGGTTAACTGTGCCCATGATTTGCTCGCGTAATTGAAATAAAAATGTGGAAGTAGGGCGAACCCCTACCTATTCGGCGCATTATTATTTTACTTGTACCTAGCGGTTATGCACAATTTGAAAAAATGTGTTCATCACAGTATTTTTGTTCTATATTGAAATTACCTTTGTCAAATACAGTAGGCACTTACTTCTTGATATTTACATACCAGCATCTCGGATTGCTATCTTCAGGAAGGAGTATGATTTTTTTTTACGAAATAGAAATGAAATGCTGAACCATTCTGAACTTGAGGTACTTCCACTTCAAACTTCCACAAACAATAAACACGTCTACTATTTGATGTCATTTTTTAAACATCGAAGCCGCGCCGCTGCCTTTGTGTGAAGTTACAATCTACTGTCCAATTATTATAAAGTTTGTAAAGTACCAAGTATTATTCTGCCATCTACTAACTAAAACGCGGCAAAGTGACAAATGATCAAACATCCGTTTTAAACGGCAAAAGATAGAGCACAAAAATCTGTTTTAAAAACAGTTAAAATTAGTTAACGTGTTCGACTTAGCGAAACTTACCATAAAGATGCAAAGCTGAAATATCATTAAACAATTTCAATATTCTAAAACTGGGTTATAGATTTTTATGATATTTAAAAAAAATATTTTGTCACTTAACCGGGTTTTTGATAGGTACCTTAATTTCATATCATTACATTACATTACCAACTGTCTAGCAGTAAGAGTTAATACTCTTACTGCTAGACAGTTGGTATAGTAATGATAGACGGAAAGTTTATGTCACCGAATTTGTGTACATGTGCAAAGGTTTACTAGCTGCGACTGAATCTCGTTTGAATCGCGTTAATGCACGTCATCTGCACGTAAAACTATCGATTTGGAGAAGAACCGTGTTTAGCTGTGGGAGGTACATACTCAGTCAGCAAAATCAACGCGCTATCACTTTAAAAGTCCATTTCGCAGCTGACTTGTTCCCGTCAACCAATGGAGTTTAAGGCAAACACAAATGCTGATGAACAAAATAACGGACTCTTGCAAAAAAAGTTTTGTTTATTTTGGGACTGGAATGGCTTAAACTTTGTTGATAATACTTGATTTGTTACTACACAGTACAAATAATTCAATTAACTATAATACTTTACAGAGCACACTTCCAAATTAATAATTTACTTCACAGATCTAAAACGGACACAAAAGAAAATAATCAGAAATTCAAGAAACCCATTTCATTGTCGAGAACAAAAACAAAAATTAAAGAGGAAGTGAACAGTCCGATGAAACAACTCGACAAAAATACTGAAGACGACGAAATTATGGAAATGGAGCATTCTATTAATATTCTACAGTATAACAGGTACGTTTCGTACTAAATACATTTATGCAACGAAACAAAATCTACGTACAATAGAGTAGCAACTTTTAAATCACAACAGTCACTTTTACTAGGCTTCGATTTTGAAATTAAAAATTTCAGACAGACAAATGTTCGCATTTTTTCAAAACTTGAATAAAATTGATAGATAGACAGAACGTTAAATGTCTTCCCACAAACACACATTAGAATATGAAAGAAAAGGATGAAAAAACAGACGGAAAACACAGATTATAATTAATAATGAAAACAAAACAATCCAATAAATGTACAGGGTCAAGAGCACGTGAAGCTTGACACTTAAGACTTAAAACCAACTGTATGCCGCATACGATAAGCACGGTCCAAAGTACAGTGTCAAGCTTGATGTACTCTTGACTGTACAAACATAGGAAACAGTTTTTACCTAACTTACAACAGAACAACCTGTATGTGTTGCGCTAGTCAATTAGGTCCAAGGTCAGTGTGAGTTTTGTCCAAAAACAGGCAACTGGTTTTCAGAAGGTAGGTCTAGCACGATGTGAAGCATCAAACAGTATAAATTACATTTCTGTAGGTGAATACGCTGCAGAATGTATACAGAAGATAACAACATTCTTGATTATAATTGTGTCAAGTGTAGCTAAAAACAATGTTCAATATCCCAGTTTTTCATGACATTCTGATAACTACTTATTTTAGAAACCATGGATTTTTTAAAATATTATAGATATCCAACATATAGGTACCTTTTCTTACAGTCAGTAGTTTGTTATATTATAACCATACTACTACTTAATTGACTTTGTAGTGTTTTGAGTAGTCTCTACTTTAAACCTACACACAGTCTTGGACTTAATTTAGTCAAAATTTCAAAACTTCTTTATGTGCCTGTAACAATATACAGTCATGTCGTATAATCCGGTGTTTCATAGGGACAAGAATTGTAATAAAGTTAGCACATAGTCCACCAGTCTTTAAAGTAATTTATAGCGTCTCTGAGGTCTCACAGCTAGGTCCAAGATTCATTCACTTCCCTTACTTTTTGTAAATTTTTAATTTAGGGTTTTTTTGTATTTTTTTAAGTTCATTCTTATTTTTATATATTTAACTAAATCTATCTATTAAATTAGTATTAATTATCGTACGTCGTTTGTGGAATGTTATTGTGTCATAGATGAATAAATAAAATGTTTCTGTAGTGGAGAGCCAGCGGATTAATAAAAAAAACGACCTCAAAAGTTCGTGGAATTATATCTATTTGCCAAGTTTTATTGAAATTGGTTACCAAAAAGTGCGCAAAATCGGATTCATCACCTAGTTTGCCAGCCTTAGAGGTAGAATGTTTTCTTCAAATGGTAATTAATGGGACCAATACTGAGATTACTATATAGTATAATACTCTAGATATAGATACTCTCTTTCCAACAAAAAAAGAATCATCGAAATCGGTTCACAAATGCCGGAGTAATCGCGTTAAAAAACCAAAAAAAGACGGTCAAATTGAGAACCCCCCCCTTTTGAAGTCGGTTAGAAACTAACTCGTGTCCATTCACGTATAAAGATTCGGCAAAGCGGGATTTTAAGGGGTGTTGATTCTTGCACTGTATAAATATGTACCCAGCACATATTCCAAAAGCGCCCGTAACCCATATCGTGAGTGACCGAAATATATCTTTATCACTGACACCTGCAGGTTTTACTCCAGAAATTTCGTACAATTATTTGTTGTCGATGTTATAATGAGTAACATGTTTCAGGAGAATAAATAATAAAGGTATTATGGTATATTAACCGTATTTTTAATTGTGTTTTCATATCAGGTACCAAAACAGACCCAAATGCAGTCCAGTGAAGATGAAAAATCGCCCGTTAATTAGTCCAAAGAAGTCCAGTCCAAAAAAGGAATCAAAGTCTCCAAAGAGTAAAAGTCCTAAAACGTTTCCAGTAAAAGCAGAACCTATGGAGGAAGATATAACACATTTTGATGACGCAAGCATTTCAATATTACAACAGGTTGAGGAGTTGGCAGTCAGACAAACTGAAATTTTCAAAGACAATTGCATCAGGTAAGAATTATGATATTAATAATAATAATAATGTGCCAAACAACCATACATAAAAATGTAGTAGTAGCCTAATGGTTTGGCAAGCAGAGGCCATGGGTTTGAACCCGGGCTCATACCTCTTGAGTTTCTAGAAATTTATGTGCGAAATTTACCATGAGCATTTCGGTGAAGGAAATCATTGTGATGGCACAACCACACCAATTAATAAAGTTATAATATAATTATAATATTAGATTATAATATAATTATAATAATAATCAATCCAATTGTCACGGATAGGACTATTCTTGCGAATAAGCCTGATACTGTGATTTAAGATCGATCGCAGTCGAGGGTATTTCTTGTGGACGTTACCATCACGCATGACGAGGTTCTCGTGAAAGCCGAAACCGAGAAACGCCGGAAGTATCTCGACCTGGCGCACGAGATCACCGACATGTGGGATGTGGCCTCCACTGAAATAATCCCAATTGTTTTGTCCGCAAATGGGTTAATTCCAGTCAGCCTTGCTAACAGCTTGAGGCGGTTGGGTTTCTGTGGCGTGTCGCTTCCAGCACAAGTGCAGAAGGCGGTGCTGCTCGACGGCACGTATTGTTCGCCGGTTCTTGAATTTGAGTCCCTGACCTCGGCTGAGTGTACCTTTGTCAGGGAATACCGCCTCTCCCATTTAAAAATTCAAAATTTATCTTTAGGCCTTGGGAGAGGCGGTAGTTTAAAGTATATATAATAATAATAATAATGCCTTTGTTGCTAATACAATTCAAATGTTACAATATAATTCATTAGTAGAAAATACAATTCATTATTAAAAAATATAAAAATATCTTAAACCTAGATTAATACTAAAAATAATAGACATAAATTTCTAATTAAAATTAATGGTTAAGATTAATAATTCATTATAAATAAATCTGAGTGCAACATTTTCCTATAATTAAATTATGTCCACATCATCAGCTTGTTATTAGACATATTCAGAGACTTCCAGTTTTCCCTGTCCCGTGCCTGTCGTTGCAAAATGGGCCTGCCGCTAATTTTAAATCATCTTCCCAAGTTTTTCTCTGCCTTCCCGGTCTGTGTTTGCCTTCTCTACCACACCTATTACCTAGTCACAAACTAGGGAATTCCCTGTACTATGAGTATGAGCAACAGAATTCCCTCCGGGGCTCTACTCAGAACACTCAGACCAGAACCAATTTAGAAAAGTTAATTTCCCAAATTAATCCTGCCGGGAATCAATATACATATTAGCTATAACTACACATAACAGCATCTTTATCACGAAACCACAATTTTTATCACGTAACCACTATTTTTATCACGAAACCGCAATTTGGACGGAGAAAACATATTTACGTAATTCGGATGTAAAATTGGAATAATTAGTTTTTTTTTAAATTTTAAGTTACGTTAATTATTATTTAAGTCGCGGTATAATATTTATGCTATTTACTACTTACAAAACTTAAGAGTACATATGTATACGTTTATTGTTTGATTTGTGACTGCAATAAATAGCATGGTTATTTATGATGACGTTAAAAAAAAATCACTCCAAAATTTGATAATTTGTGATGACAGTACCTAAACATGTGGTCTAGGGTATCGATTTTCAACATTTTCAAAAAAATGCCTATTATCACTTAACTAAGTGACATGGATTTTTTTTAATTTTTACCAGAACTGATATAACCTGGCCTCTCGCCCAGTGACCGCTTGACGTTGAGTTTTGGGACACCCTGTATATATTAGGTGATTTAGGTATATTTATAAAGACTAATATATTAGGTAGGTATACTATATCGCTATTTATGTTTGATAAAATATAATGTACATTTTCTTTTGTCTATACAATTCAAATTTTGCTATTGGCACGATACGTATCCCGCTCTGATTAGCTTTCCTGTATCTCATACGTTGTCTAGCAGAGATCGCTCTTAGCGATAAGGCCGCCTTTGCCCATATTAGATTTAAGCTGTCTATGTACTGTTTTTGTTCCTGTGTGTGAGCAATAAATTGTATGTCTATATATCTAATATCTATTAAATATAACTCAAAAGCGTCCTTATGGTACATTTACCAGTTTACTAACACACTTGGTTTAAATAAATATTGTTTTATTATATTATTATGTATATTAGTCTATAAGGTATGTATTTATGATTCAATATAAACTGAGTATTCAATACAAAATAATAATAAAATGTACTTTAAATTCTTACAATACTTCTTGTAATGTATTATAAATGTTTAAATTACAGCCCTACAAAGGGACCACTAGTGGAAAATATAAACGTAACAAATATATCGAGTACACAAACCAACGTGGAAGACAGCATATCGATCCTGCAAAATCCCAAAGTCACCACCGGTAATAATGTTCAGGATAATGATATAAGGTATCAAATTTACAAGTTCTCTTCATTCGACCCTTTGCACCTCGGTATTTAATGTTAAATTAGAGGCTGGCTTTGAACACCGGTAGAATCTAACGGAAACGGGGTTCCGTTCTTTGCAGTTAAATTCACTAGTCTGATACCCTGTAATATATAAGGATCATCTAGCGTAATCATACTTAAAATTATAGAATGTGTCTTTTCTTTAGTCCATTTACATAGTGTTTCAATTTATAGTATAAAAAATTAACAGTGTAATACTTGTCAAACTTATCAAGAATCACCCGAATCTTCTCTCTATACTAAAGAGATGTGTCCAAAAGCTGATATTTTCTACTAAAATAATTTGATACTTGATAATTTGCAATTAAAAGCAATAAGTAACGTTTTGTAGCAAAATTATTTGCGTGCGGGAAACTTGTAATTTAATAAGCTTAAACATATAGCATTATTATATTGGCGCAAATGAAACACTAGGATTGATCATGTAATATTAATAATTTAAGTAAAAAACACTAACTTCTGGACATACTTGTGTGAAAACATAATTGAAACGATGTCCTTCAGTGTAGCTTAGTAAAAAGCTACATAATATATTATGTTTTAGAAAAACTCCTGAGAAACTACAGCCGGTATACAAGGAGCTACTGCCGCGGAAGAAAGCGGAGAAACAAGCATTGCCGGCGTGGCTGTGTGATGAATGTAAAGACGTACGTACACATCCACACACACACACACTCTCTCTCTATCTGCTTCTTAACTTTATAACACTTTGTAACACCCAAAAATTCTCTCCTCTCTGATCGTTGTAGCTGATTTTCATTCATTCTTCGATGATGCTCTACAAATAATCGTGACCGCGTGATTGCGTGTTGTTTTAACATATTATTAATAAACGTGACGTGATACGAGCTCGTCATCGACTTATATATAACGCTTATTACTCTACCCAATTTTAAGGGACTCTTATAGTCTGTCGACATTTTGAAAAGTCGCCATTTTGTTTATCCACCAAAAGCTGAACAAAATGGCGGCAATGGCAAAATTCTTTTATTTTTATGTACCATCCTCAATTTAATCCTTTCCATAGGTACTGAACGATCTCTACGCCAACGATCCAGAAAAAGTAGCACGTATAGTGGCGCGATGTTCTAAGCATCGAGGAAAGACAAACCCTATTCGGCCTAAAACCCCTCCAGGTTTCTGGTATCCGCGATGGGAAGTGCCCGAGGATACAGAGGAGTTCAATCGAAGGAACAATGTGGAATCGTAATGACCGCTGATACACTATTAGAACGAGACGGAAAGTGCATTACCTAACCTAACTCGGGCGCAACTAGGGGGCCAATCGCGCTATTTTCGCAAGGTTTAACCGTACAACATTTGAGGTTATGGTTTTGGTTAATTAATGGTTCTACCGACGCACAAAATGCAATCGCGCTATCAGTTTTAATGAACCTAAACCTCAGTTAAACCTCAAACTATAACCTCGTATTAAATTTTAAGAGACGTGCCTTGACTTCCTAAAACCGACTAAATTTTACCGTAAAACGCACTGAAATGTCAATATCTACGAATTCAAGTCTATAAAAGAGCGATTTAAAAAAGTGTGTAAAAGAAATGTCATTAAATTCTATTGTAAACAAACATATGTGTTGTGATTTGAACCAAATTAATTGAATTTAGTGTGTTGTTGTTGTAGATAAAACACGCAGAGGCAAGTACCTACACATTGTTTTCCTTTTTTAATATTCTATTTAATAAAATAGTATCTTTTTATACAATCAAATAGGTACGCTAACTACTATTAATTTCGAAATGTTAGCAATGTAGAATTAATAATGATGCTCGTATTTCAGCCAGTGTGGATGCGGTCGGACGGCGAGCGACCACTGTAAGCCAGCTCCATCTTTGCTGGAGTTCGAATCGCACAGAGATTTGGCTTGAGAATGACTTCGCTCGGCGTTGTTCGCGCGTGTTATCAGCACGCCTATGGTGCGAGTGTGTGGCTATTTTGTGGCCCCGCAATAGATCCCAAAAGGTGAGCTATAATGCGAGGTAATAGGATACAGTGAGTGGATCACTCACCGTTATTGTACCAGAACTCATATCACTATAATATGCGATGTTATTATTGTTATTCAGGTATGGAATGGTATGAAAAGCAGGGTGAGAATCTACGCCACATCGACTGCGGCAGAGGCCCTACCAACCTTCCTAAAGGACACCAACTCTAGCACAAAATAACTTCAAACATACAATTCAATAACAAAGTAACTTTCTCACTCTTTATTATTAATTAAAAAACAAAGTAACTTTCAATTCGAGCAAATTCTTTCCCACTCTTTATTCCATCACATCTATTATTTCGTTGACAGCGAGCTGATGAGCGTTGGAGCAGAGCCGGGTAGAATTCTTATGCATTGAGGAGCAGCGAGCATGCGAAGCATTCTTGCAGCAAGTGAATGCTGGCAGGGTGCAGGCTGAGGCAGCTATTATTTCTGCCAAAGCAGATGATCTGCATGCCCAATCCGTAGCTGCCATTTGCAAAGCAATTACCGAGTTGGTGCCTGCAGTTAACCTTTTTGATAGACTATTTAACAAGAATGACAGGTTTGTTTTCAACATGTTTTCTTAATTCCTGCTGATGATATGTTCAATTGTGGAAATCTGAAAGAGCGTAAGGAACGAAGGTCTAATCTGTAGACTTTTGTCCCCTTTATATTTCCACAGTGATATAAACTTTTTTTAAATGTATTTTGAAAAGGCCCCTAAACATTCTGGCGTTTATGTTGGCTTCATACTGTATGTATATAAATACCCATCCTGCTTTATCTGTCACTACTCTCATTAGAGGTATGGCACAGTCTTAAATTTAGGTCTCCAATCTTCCTATATACATATTTTTGTTTCAGACTTCTTTGAAGAATCAAAAGCAAGCTCGCTCCGGAAATGAAGGATGATTTGGGGTAGATTGAGGCAATAAATAAACTAAAAATACACTCTTTTTTTTATTTCAACCTCTTAAAAGTATACATCAATTTAGATATTAAGATAATAAACAATTACAATAGGTATACATCGTCATCTTAGAATGAATACCTCATATTTCTATGTAATTTTTTAGGATGAAGATAAAAATATGGTGTGAAGTATAGTAAATGCAATAATGTGTGTAGTTAGCATTTTAATTACTTAAATTATACCTCTTTTAGATACTATATTATTACATTATTAATTTTTATTCAACAAAAATCAGTAAAAACAAACTGAAAATGCATATGTGAGGCTTCACTGTAAGGGGACGATATGTTGTATAAAGTCAAGTGTTAAAAGAGATAAATTGTAACCTTGTAATATATTTTTATACAACTATACATATTTTACCTATACCTGTAATTTTAATTTGATAATAACAACAGGAAATAAGACAAGAACTAATAAATATGATGTACATTGTAAAGCTTATTTTCTCACCGCCTTTTAATACCATCTCTTTCGGCATGCCTTTTAGGAAAGCTGCATATTTATTCATAATAACTGGTTTATTTGAAGCAGCTACCGCTTGTGCCTCTCTGACACTGACTTGGGAAAGGGTGATAAGCACTTGCCAATGGGGGTCTGGTACGCCCCAGTTGTTAAAAACTATACGAGCTATTAAAATCTGTAACAAAATTAATAATGATTTACACAGTATAGAAATTTTGGTTATTATGCAAAACTGAGAACTTTCGGATTCCACTCAACCCTTACCTTTGTCTCCACATCCAATGCAACAGACCGTCCTTTAACGAGAATATGTAGGCATAGTTCTTCCACCAATCCTGAAATGAATTCCGTGGACAAACGGTATATCGTTTGCGGAATTTCTCCTCAGACATGTTAAATGTGATCGTCTTTCTATGCTTTTCTTTTATTTAAAGCCCGTTCTTAGGCCACATCCACCTCATAAACACTTTCCAAAACATTTAAGTAACCGTGGAACATCTTTTATATACGATAAACGTAGTGAAAAGTTACTCTCCATTAACTGCCACACAAACCTTGACCTTGCAAAGGTTAATCTATTCCCCCAAGGTTACATGTGAGGTTAAAATGTCAAAATATTTAGCGCGATACCAATTTGCAACATTTTAGGTTTTGGTTTTACGTTTGACAATTAGCGCGATACCAAATGTGCGTTACGTGTCACACGTCTAAGTTTTGGCTTAGGTTTTTGTTTTGACAGTTAGCGCGATACGAAATGTACACAACGTGTCAGATTGGCGAGGTTGGAGGTTTTGGTTAAACCTTTGACAATTAGCGCGATTGGCCCCCAGAATAATTTCCAGCGTGACCAAGATCGAATTTTCGAAATTTGATTAGTCAGGCAAAAGTCGTAATTTAGTCGGTTCAAGTCTTACGACTTGTAGTAGAAAGTAGATTCAGGATCGTATTCTACAACTCTACTCAAAAAACTCAACTCTGCTCAAGTCAGGATTTGAGCAGACTTGAATATGATTTCAAGCACTGGAAATACGACCCTAATGGCGAGGACTTGAGTATGATTTCTAGTGCTTTGAATAATACTCAAGTTCTGACTTGAGCATTGAGTAGAGTTCTAGAATACGACCCCTAGAGTCGCTCCACCTGCCGTTTCATAGTTATAAGGGAGTTTTACTATCGACGCTCCGGAATAAGCTTATTCCAGCGGCACCATTCCTCAATGTTGAAAACCACTGCACCAACGTTAGATCTAATTACACGAAATAAAATCGTGATTTAGTCCGTTCTAGTTGTAAAAAAACTAGATTTTTGTCATTATGTCGTTTTTAAGTTATAACAATATATTACTGTTAGGCCTATATAAGCTCATTCCGGTAGCACAATATAGGTCAGTGGGTGGCACCATTTTTAAATCTCGAGAACCACAGCTCCTAGCTTAGAGAACTAATTGCACCCAGACACACGACCCGGGCGCGCTAATTGCACGCGAGACGTGATTTTTGGCTCGTATCTAGTTTGTACGTTACGCAGTTGAACATAAAGTTCAATACGCTATGCACAATATCGTTACAAAATTCCGCTTCCATTCCGTTCCGCCGCAATGTAAATTGAGCCTTAGTCGCTCCTTACCTCAAAAGATGTAAAACGCCCTTATAACTTGAACAACGCAGCGGACCGACAGAATCTAGTATTTGCGACTAGAACCGACTAAATGGCAACTTTTTCCCTAAAAATAAAGACAAAATTTCAAAAATTCGAGCATTCGCTGTGAATTAAGGAGTGCTTATAACTACAGTGCCAAAACCAAACGATCTACAATACTCGACAAGAAGAATGGCAGGATTAACGCCATCTAGGTAGAATACATAATATTAACCTGAAGTTAGTGGTGCGCGAAAAGAATATTATATGCACTGTTCGATCTAGATGTCTAACTTTAGTTACCAGGTGCTCTCTATATTGTTATGAATAGTTTAATGTTTAATTGCCTCCGTGGCTGAACTGTTACCATGCTGATCTGACACACAGAGGTCCCGGGTCGGGAGAAATATTTGTATAGCCTACATATATTTCTCTCATGACTTTGGGTGTAATTTGTGGTTGTCTATGCGTGTCCATAGCACCCGCGACACAGGGTTTCCCTAGTGCGGGACTGTGAGTAGATGTGCGTTTTCATATAATTTTTTGTTGAATTTTTTTTCTTAAGTAGCAATAATACCTGTTCCTATAGGCATACATCGTGATGAAACCTTGAGATGATGGTGCACCTTTGGAAAACGTATAAAGTCGCCAACCTGTATGAGCCAGTGTAGTTGACTATTGCCCAGATCTCCACGGATCTCCTCTAAGCAGAGGGCTCCTTAGAGGAGATCCGTGTCAACAATATGATGAAGAATCTGTTACGTGGCTTGTAATTGACGAGGAATCTCATATAACTATAGAAAGTTCAATACATACTATAGGTATTAATCACATAGTGCCAAGAAACATTTTTTATAAAAGCAAGTTGTGTTTAAGTGAATTTTTTGTAGCATAAATGTAATGTTAAAGTAGGTATGTACAGAGAAAAAAATATTAAAATTATTTATATATAAAGTTGCAGCCTTATAAAGCACGATTACTCCAATGCAGACTAGCCTAGCCAGCCCATAAAATAAATTCAATCGATGTTGCCGTCGTAAGCAAAAGGCCATAATATTATCACTCGTCAACCGCGGTGTTGTCGAGTGACGTCACCTAACGGTATCCACTTCCACAACTTTCTGTGATCGCAAATGTACAATTAGCCTATTTCGATTGTTCTAGCAGAAATATAATTGTATTTTTTACTTTGGATAAAAACATTTTAGACGTTTAAATATTGCAATAAATGATTATATTTTTATGTACTATGTGTCTCAATTTCTTATATTCTGTAACTAACCCCAAATATGCGGACTAAAGTAAAATTTGTACTTAATTGCTGCTTTTTGAATTTCAAATCTTCATAACAAAAACATGTTAATTTATTTTTAAATGTGCCACAGCATCGTAAAGGTTTCAAGTACTAACATATGTGTGGAGATATGCGAACGCGAAAACTGCGCAGTGTCGAAATAAAGTAAACATGACTCATAAGATTATTTACATAAACTTACATTCGTATGGGAGAGAAACTTCTAGAAAATATTTAAATATTTTTGTTTATTTATAATAAATTTCTATAACATTGCAATGTAATTTCGCCTTAAAAATCATGGTTCTTCTGAAACAGAAATGAGCTAAGTGTATCTACAGATATTAAAGCCATTCTGTGAACTTATAATGAATACTATGAATCTCGACTGTTGTATTCTACTACATAAACAGAGGTACGTAGTCACAGTACAAAAATATAATAGGTAGGATAACAATCAGTGCACATATAATCTCTATATAATGGCAACTTATGTGCCAGTACCAGGCTACATAAGGTACAGTATGCTGTGTCATTGCCCTTTTAAAGCTCATTCAATGCAAACTTGTAGGTACACACATTCACAGAACATAAGGTCACAGAATGGTCAAGCTGAAGTGACATAGTTTTGCACTATATACCTTTACCTTTAAAATATTTTAAAGCCTTAAATGCTGCTTTTTGTACCAATAAAAGAAAAAACTTAATCACACCTCTTGCCAAAATGAACCAACATGACTTGCAAATGAGTAGGTGTTAAGGTAAGGTGAAACAACACTATTTAGAGAACACCTCATTTATTTTTCTCAATAAAACAGAATATTATAATTTTCACTAGCTTATGTTAAAAAACAATATGTAAAATGAAATTAAGGATTAGTAAATAGATAATTGAAACTGCTGCATGATACATTATCAATAACAAAAGGAGCTAAAAGGCAGACATTGCTATGTGGGCAATAAATAATGAACTGTTTGTTTCTGACACAGTTCAAAAATTATCCATTTGTCACAAAAAAGAGTTTGTTCAGTCTAATTGCAGCAATATTACAAAATTATTGTGTGAATATTGTAATTTTGCACCCATTCAAAAATAGTTTCATTTATGATTTTTTTAACTGAAACTTTATGTTTTATTTTGATATAAGTATATTGTATATTTTTAATGCTACAACAATTTACACACAAGCCTATGAGAGTTTCTTAGCTTTCTGGTAGAGAGTATCAACAACCTTGCTCATGTGGTGGATGGTTTCCAGTACAGTCTCATATGTCTTCTCTAGGGGGGACTCATCAAATACAATCAGAACTCCTTCTCCTTGGTCCAGGATACCATTAAGTTTCTTGTCCAGAATCATTTGTGAGAGCTTCTTCTCCACTTGTACTACGGGAAGGCGAATGCTACGTGCAACATGATCCACCTGTACACGCATGTATGGCTCTACAATGCGACATAAATTCTGCTCTAGCATAGTGTCATAAAGAGCACCAAGATGAGCCCGAACCACTGCATCCTCCTCAAGCTCTCTCTTGTACGTCTTCAGAGCTGCCTGAAAATCTGCCAGGGACCTTTTGTGAGAGGCTGTTGCAACTGCACGCATGGCCTCTAACTCTTTACCTGCATATTTCAGGGCTGCTTTACTGCCACACACAGTGCCCACTTCTTCTGCTTGACTGAGCATGATCTTTGACAATAACATGTATTTTAATGCTGTCAGGGCCTTAGGGCTATCTGCACCATCATAGCCTTCAAATGCTTCATAGAAATAGGAGTAAGCAGTTTTAAAGTCTCGCTCATCTGCAGCATGTAATATTCCAGACTGTAGGTCTAGTGCCGCCTGCATCTTAGGGGGGCAGTAAATGGCATTTGCCGTGGTCCTTGCTGACGTCAGTGATGCTCGTGCTTTCGGCAGGTTACTTAGCGCGTGGTAAGTTTTGCTCTCTAGCAGAAGTACTTCTACTAACAAATTCTTGTCATCTAATTTCTTAAGTTCCCGAAGCAAGGCAGTAGCGAGATCCAGCGCTTCTGTATACATACTGGTGTCGAAGTACAAAGCGATCAGTCTCGCTTCCAGGGATTGCCTGAGGAACGTACGCCGCTCTTCTTTGGCCCATTCTATACACTCTTTACACAGCTGGACTTCGATACCGATGCCTGCTTCTAAATCCAGGAAGAAGTCGACCAAAGACCGAACTAACTTAGCCGCCTTCGCCTTGCTGATAAGACTCAGAAATGGTCTTGTGGCTTTTATGAGTTCTGCCAGTTCCTTGGCCTTGCCTTCCTTCTTGTACTTTTCACCGAGGTTGAGGATGCCCTGCTCCTTGGCGCGTATATTCTCTTCGTCGTCTTCGGGCACTTCGCCAGTGCTAACCATTTTGTCGGTCATGCGGACGTCCTCGTCTCTGTTCGTCGACGAGACGCGCGACCTCTCGAATAACATCGCTCCGGCCATGATGGGTATATTTATATGCTTACACTAAAAACGTATTAGATAAACAGTAAAACCACACTACAACCGCTGCACTTTTTCTTTGTAATTTTGTATAATCGCAAAGTCATCGACGTCTTCTCCAGAAACAAATCGCAGACGCGGACAGTGTTGCCACTAAGTTAAAACAAAACTACCATGTCTGTTATGTAAAAAAATAGCTTAATAAAATATTTTCAATTCCTTTTGATGCCTAAATCTTTTTTGTCGCATAAATTTACCCGTTTTGATGGTGAAGTAACAAAAAATCGTATAGTGGTTTCCATGATTAATCTCGAAGTTGAGCTATATTTTTTCTTTAATACATAATAGACACACGCTTGAGTTAAGCGACGATATACATATATATTCAAGATATTCATGGTCAATGGCGATATTATAACTTGTCATTTGTCTAGCCCATTTAAATACCCAAATAAATGGTTGAAAACAAACAAAAAACATTTAGCAGCAAAGAAAATTATACCCAAGTAACAAGAGATATACGGTACAGTTTATATAAAAGAATTTGACAAATATTATATTTTTGTTTGTGGCTTATTAGGACCAAGGAGTATCAATTGTAAGCATATTGTAATATTTTTATCTTCTTTGACAAAGACTATAATAATAGTCAAATCATTTGTTATCATAGCCGTCATTGATTGAACGAATTGACTGCCTAGTGGCCGCCATTAAGGAAAAATAATAATAACACGGGAACGGTCGCTATATACTTGAAATATATTATGAAATTTTATTGAATTCAATGTGCAAGGAATAAGTACCTACTTCGGGAAAGAATATAATGACAATACGGTTTTATTTGATAACACACAAAAGAAATAAAATTGAATATAAATAAAAATTACTCGTAAGTATTGTAAATATGGATCTGAACAAAGACAGTATACAATTTTTGTTCGATATTTCAAAAGAAGTAAAAGATTTTTATGAAGCCTCTGTAATATTTATAACTAAAAAAGATTATTCTGATAATGTATTCAATACCTTGTGTATCGTGCGAAAGGCTGTACAAGAGGGAATAAAAGCCAGTCAAAATGAATTGATAGACTGTATTGTTGACTACCATTTAGCTTGGCTTCATGCTGTAAACGATATAGAAGGCTTTAAAAAACGTATAGAGCTGGACTTGAGCAGAGATGAAATTTTCCAAGCGATTAGTTTTACTATTGATGCTATGAATAATCGCTTGAAATATTATCAACGATACATGGAGAAAAATCGAAAAAAATTGCCTAGTATAGAACAAAACAATTTAACAGCTGAAATTGAAATTGTTGAAGATATGCATACAGCCGTTACTAATTGTTTGCTCGACAAACTCAAATGTTTTAGAAACCCTAATACGGATGAAAGTGAATTTAAAGTGAAATCAATGGCTGCAGCCGATGAGCTTCTTAGCTGGTTAGACAAAATAAACGACGGATTATCGATGCAACTAAGCAAATATATTAATCTCAATGTGCCTCAGCTTAGGGGAGATTTAACAAAGGCCTTACAACAAATTGTGGATGAATTACAATCCTCCGATAGCCCCGCTGCCCAGAAAATGTTGAGCGATTTGAAACAAAGAGGCAGAGAATTGACTTCAATGATACGTTGCACTGCAGATCGCAGCTTAGAAATAAGTAAAGTTGTGGAAAAGATAAATGTCCTAGGAGATCGTATTAGCCGATTGGAATCAGTTCCATCTGTACAACCTTCAGCGGCATTGATGGGCCTGAAGCGAAAGAAAGAATTCTTAGAGAAGAGGCTTGAATCTTTAGAGAACTTAAAAACCACTTTAAAAGACCTTCGAGAAGAAGGTGAATTTCGTTTTGATGATGTGACAGACGAAGAACTTTGTGTCTGCGAAGATTTTTTTCAGCTTAGAATTTTCAATCATGTTCTTCCTGCCGAAGAACGTGAGCGACTAGTCACAGAATTATGTTATTTGTGGGACCTGGCTGTGTTCGGAGAGAGAAGCCATAAGTCTATTATTTCTATTCTCAGTGCTGCAGAAATGAAAGAAGAATTTTCTGATGAACTTGGCAGTTTTTACATTGACGAATACAGTAGGAAAATATACAAAATTCCCGGTGACAACGTTCTTTACCAGCCAAATGAAGTAAATGAACTTGTTCCTCTATCCGATGATAAGGATCATATTTACTATTACGATGAATGTGGACGTTATTTTGTTGATCCCAAAACAAGACAAAGAATTTATAAAGCGCATGCAAAAGCTAGTGAGTATATGATGGATACTTCGGGAGTTCTTTTAAAAATAAAGGAGGAGCGTGGGGGTATTACTTATTACTATGATAATTACGGTCGATACTTTATTGGCAATGACGGTAAACATATTTATCGTGAAGAAGATTCATTGAGTGAATACGAAAACGATGGTTTGGGTAATTTGGTTCGCATTCGAAGTCATGCTGATTTAATGGAACCTTGTCCTCCTGACGTAAATGTGACTGAAGATTTTAAATATTTGAAACATGCAGTTGGTCCAGCTTTACGCCAATGTATTGCAGATTGTATCACTTCTCGCCCTTCAGATCCGATAAAATTTTTATCGTGCAGTTTGATAAAGTACAGAGAAGCTCAAGAAATGAAAGATAAACATAATAAGGATAAAGAAGAGCTAGAGGTTGAGAGAGAATTGATTCGTGCAGAAGAACAAGCAGCAGCTGAGAGAGCCGCCTTGGAAGCAGCTTTACTTGACCAAGGAGTCGGCGAGGAAGCTAGTTTTGATTCTAACCTACTTAACTATTCACACGAGCCAGATGCTGTTACTGCCAGCTCAAAATAACTGAAGACTACATACTATATAAAAATATAGTCAAAATTAAAATGATTTCAATGATCACATTAACCAAAAATAATTTTTACGTTTTCACACATTCAATGTGGGCAATTTTATCTACACATTTAGAGCACTCGGACCATCTGCTTCTGCCATCAGCTTTGACAAATGTCAACCACGTATTTATGAAATTATGTACTGTGCATTTAGCACTATAATTGAAACAATTTTAGTTAAAAATGCACCGTAGTTATGATTTCCAATTCAAATATTTTGAACACTGAATGTATACACAAAATTGCCAATTTTGTGTAAAATTTGTAAAATTTTGGTTAGTTTGACCAAAGCAAAAATGGTCTGAATTTTGCTCTTATTATGAGTTAGAAGGCAAATAAGGTACCTACCCAATGTTCATAAATACGTTTGTTACTTTATTATGAATATAGCATAAAAGAGCATATGTTCAATTTTTAAGTCATTTATTACGTGATTCTTAAGTTTGTTTTCTTTTTATATTGATTAGCCATCGTGATTTTGTTAACAATGCATCAAGTTTGTGCATCGTTTAGTTAATTGTTTCATATTTATGATCATGAGATCGTGCAATCGTATCGAGAATAAATCTGTTAATTTATCTTCATTAATTGCATTATTATTGAGGGTATGACGTTTTTCAAGTGATATATATAATATTTTTAGCTAATATAAATTTAATTCCTTGAAAAAATAATTTGAACTAAACTTAACGTTTAATCGATATACTAATTGTATAAACATACAATATTACAATATTATGTTAAGAATAGCGTTAATTCAAACAATCGAAACGGTCAAGCTAATAAAAAATATATAAACATTCAAACATACGTGTACACGTATGTATACAAAATATGTATCTGCACATATACGTACATTTGACAAAATCATCAAGCTTAATGAGCAACTTGGGATGCAGTTTGCTATTGAGTGAGCATCCTTGAGTGTAAGATCAATGGGCTTGTGGATTTAATTCAATATGCAGATTTGGGTTTGAATTTAACTGTTGATGATCATTTATGAAGTTGGTGAGTACAGACTAATATTGCGTTTGATGTTGTGTTTATAACTTCACATTTTATCGTTATTAACAATGATAATAAACTTGTAAAGTTATTAATCAATCGATCATTATTTGTCGAAAAGATTATTTTTTTTCCATCCTCTAAGGAAAGGACACATCACAACTTTTATTTTTACCCATTGCTAACCAGAATTACCGACCAAGAAGAGATTGGAAAATGTTCTACGGAAGTTTTTAAATTAAAAATGGAACGTATACAACAGACGTTGTTTTTTATTTCAGGTGCCTAATTGCTTAGTATCTACAGTTAGAAAAACATATTTATTAGGATTTGATGGCTGAAAAACATGTTTCCTTAGAGGATGGATAAAAATAAAACATGTTTCTTTGATATGAGTTTAGAACTTGTTTAGAATTACTATTATAGGTCACAAGGTCACAAAGTTTTTTTTAATATTTTATGGATATTTTATTTTATTAGAGCTTTATTATCCTTTTTATGAATATTGTCTTTGAAAGTTTCAGGCATGTTGTAATACGTAGTATTTACAATTAAAAATTGGATACCACCTTCGATGAAGTGCAGTATGCTTTTGCTCAGTATTGGATGACCTGATTGATATTATAAAATAGTGTGTAAACAAACTTTATGCGAATTAGTACTGTGGCCGCCTCTCGACCGTCACGTCAAGGATAGATGTAATATTAGAATCCTTAGCTAGCATCTACGTAATATGACTTCTGCAACTCACTGCTGTTACTGCCATCATTGCGTGCAGTTGCCATCTTGGAAAAGACGAATCTAACGTAAGCGTCTGTAAGTAGAAATTTTGTATGCTGTACAAACTATTTGAAGTGATAGTAAATTTTCGAGCTGAAATCTTAGATTCCAAGCCAATTCAAATATTTCTACTAAAGTAGAAAATATTTTAATATAATGGCAATAATATTTTTGACAGCTGTGGCGGCCATGTTTGTGAATTCGTTGAAAATTCCTAACATATACTTTAAGCTCATTCACAAAATAATTCTCTTTTGTGGCGGTTTTATCTGAGCTACTTATACTATAGAAGTTGTTAATTTACACCATCCAATAAAGTTACACCTGTATCTAAACTTAGTCTTAAAGTACGCCAAAAGTCTAAGTATGAGGTGAATTGAGCAGAAACAATTTCTCTTGGCTGCGTACTTCCTACAATGATTAATCTTTTTGGGCAAGGTTCTTCAGTATTTTATGTAAATTAGTATGGGTCAGTGTGAAGTGACGCATTTATAGTGGAGTGTTTTCATCACGTGCTAGTGTAAACGTGCTGGATTCCTGCAAAGGCGAGTAAGGCTGTCACATATTAGCTTAGCTCGTAGATGGGTGTATGGAACAGCATTGCTCGGAGGCAATAAGTGTATAAATATGCCGCCGCCACCACCACCGTGTCCACCGCCACCTCCAGGCCCGCCACCGCCACCTACATTCGGGGGCTCGAAAGGGAGCTCCAAAGGGAGCTCGAAAGGCGGCGCTGACGATAGGAATGCTTTGCTGAGCTCTATTAGACAAGGAGCTAAGTTAAAAAAGACTGTGACAGTAGATAAAAGTGGACCTTTTGTATCTGGGAAAGTGTCTAATGCTTCAAGTGGTTCAACTCCCATTGGCAATGATGTTAAAAGTAGACCTGCAAATACTGGAATGCAGAATGGGGGAGGAGCTCCTGCAGGACTGGGTGGTTTGTTTGCTGGCGGGATGCCAAAGCTCAGGCCTACAGGAAAGTTGGCAGGTGAGACAGTTTGTGATAAAATCATAATTAGTGATAAGAGACCTGACAATGATGATGATAATGGATTAATTTTTTTAATATCTTTATTAAGTACTTATGCTAAATAATCTTTGTAGATTGAATAGTACTATGCAAATGAAAAACATAAAATAAAAAATAAAGCTGCCATTTAACCTTTATCTCACCTGATTAGAATAATAGAAATAAATAATTGAAACTTTTGATACAACAATGCAGGAAAACATAGTAAGGCACGCTTGTTTTCGAAGCTTGAACAACTTTTCATATGCATCTGGGAAATTCCACAAAAATGGGGACATTTAAATAATTTTGATAAGACAAAATTTCACAGGGAAATGCACATTTCACACTCTGAACTAAACTAATAATGTAAAAAAACATACAAAAATATATTAATAAGCCCTATTAGTAATTTAAAAATAAAAAAAATCTTAATTATGCTTAGTTATGCAGTGCTTATTTATGTAAATCTTATGTGTTATGAATTAATTTGAGCAGTTTTATTTAAAACATTTTCACTGCACCAAATCTCTAAAGCACAGATATTAATTTTTATTATATAAAAAAACTCAGAATAGTTAATCAGTATTTAAATTACACATTTTATGCAGAAGAACTTGTTTCTATGAATTTGTCAATTTCTTTTCAAATTACTTCCTATGACGATGACTGAACTATATGTGGCAGTATTAGGGTCGCTTCATTCAGGACCTGTTCAGTCTTTACTGGCTGCAATCGTTAATTCATCTATTGTGATCACTATTAATTATAATTCAGAGCCAAGACCAACTGTGTTTAACTGTTTTGATGTAACTTCACAACTCATGTTAAAAATACCATAAGTTGTAAGGTTTGCTCATGATGCTATGGTTGAGTTTCAATTCCATATATCACAGCTGTATTTTACATTCCTTCAGTGTATGGTTCATAAAATAATGGTATGATTATCCTGTAAAAAAAGGTTTAAAGCAGAGGTTCCCAGACTTTTTTTCTCATAGACCACTTTAAAAATTTTGCTGGTTCCGGTGGACCCCCTGCAGCTACATTTCTACCATATTCCATATCCATATTATTTTTTGTCACGCCAACGTAGACCCCCGTCGAGTCTTCCGTGGACCCCTGGCGGTCCACCTGGACCACTGTGGGAAATAAGGGCTTAAAGTAAACTGTAGACAGGGCTTACCAACTATGGGTAGGTACAGATCATAGGGTGCAACACCTGGCAAACTGTACAGAATTTACCAAGTTCAAGCCTTCAGTCTCTTTTTAATATGGAGCAAATGGTATTTCGCTGACTTATTTTCTCTAATTCGGTATCTTATAAAGTAAAATTTTAGCAAATGTTTTTGTGGTGACAATTTTACCATCACGAAAATTTTGTACAATCTCGGTACTTACACAAACTGTATGTAAACACACACAAACACGCACACACAAACACACTCTTATACAGCTATATTTATCACAATTTGCGTATTAAAATGTATCCAACTTATAATAATTATTACAAACAGTAGTATAATTATAATAAATTCTATCACTTTCTTTTTTGTCATGAAATGTACTAAGTCTTGTCGAAATTTGAGTGAGGACACTGGCACCTGTCACACAGGTTATACCTAGCTCAGGAGTCAGGGACTTCATTATTATGTTGTAAACTACCTATTTTGTGAAATAAATATTATTACAATATTATTATAAAGAGTGATTATTCAGGAGATGGCAAAACTTTCTATTTATTTAAAATTTTTTATCAAGGACGTTAATTTGTTTAATTGAATAATTATTAATATAAATAAATATGTAATTATTAGTATAAATATAAATAATTGAATAATTTGTTTTACTTATTCTTAAAGTAATGCATCCAGCATTACTTTAAGAATAAGCAAAAGCCAGTGTGTGAATATGAAGGAAATAATCAATAAACAATCCATTTTTTGCATTTTAGTAACTTCGTGCTTTAAGATATGAGTTTGAGAAAGTAAGGCGACAATTTGTTACATTGACAATAATTTTATGTATTCTAATGAAGGATTTTATTTCTGTTGAATAATATTTCTATTGCTGCTTTTCAAGAATAGGGGCTCAAAGCAACATACATAAGTTTTTATTTATTACACTGCTGAATACAGAATGTGCAAGGTTTTATTGTGCATAAAGAGCTAAGCTTTTCATTGATTTAATTATAAGGATCACATTATTGGCCAATAATTATTCATCAGCTTTTCGTGTCTGATGTGTGTTACTTTTCCTTATAAATTGGGTGTTTCTGAGACGGCTGCAATTCTAGAAAGCCATTGTATATGTCACTGTTTACTGTCACTGTTGTTTCTTAACATTTCAATCTTGCTTGTCTACACATGTACACTAACTTACTACTTTGACTCAGTGTTGATAAAAGATAATTTGTTATCAGTCTTTTTTATGATGCCACTGTCATTACATTCCTATATTTAAGTGTTAATGTAATTAAGCATTAAATGTATGGGTATTAATTAAATCTTACAAGGAATTGAAGTCTGCTATTACCCATATCATGTTCTACAGCTGAATTTGAGTCTTAGCGTGGTCTTGAACCCCTCATTTAGTAGTGAGCAGTAGAGCTCCATGTGAAAGAGTTTGTCCACGGAAGTACTGCCACCTTACGTTTTTATGCTGTCAAGCAGTAATGTCAGCATTTAGTTGCCAAATATGCAATTATGCTCTCTTATTTACAAATTTGTAATCACGTTATGTAATTAAGAAACTATTTAAATTAAATATTGTTTATTGCACATCTGAATACATGAGAAACAAATTTCTTTATTACAGAAAATTACAAGGCACTGTGAAATTCCTAACTAGATAATATTAATAGTAATTCACAGAAGACCTTAGAGTGAATGAAGTAACATAATTCACTGGTTAGGGAGCTGTTGAGTCGCAATGTCTTCCAAACAAAATTACTGATTTTTACACGCAAAATAGGCGTCTAGACGTCGAGTTGCGGACACCAGCCCGTTACACCAAGTACCAAGTACTGTTTTTTAATGTTTCATTTAGTAATATTATCTTCATGAGAACTAGGTGTTTCTTCCCGACATCTATAAGGGAATAAATGGAATATTTTTAATTAAATGATTAATTTATTTTCAGGGGCAACACCCAATGGCCAGATACCAAAAGAAGCGCCGCGGTACACCCCACCACAGCAACAGCAACCAAAAAAATCTTCCCCAGACAAACCACGGCCTTTTAATAACAATCATTCTAGCAATGTCGGCTCGAAATCAGCGTTGTTTTCCGAAATGCCTTCGAAGGATATCTTAAGAGAGGCTCCCAGAGAGCCGCCGTCGAGGTCGGTGGTTAGGCGGCAACCTAGCGAGGTAAAGACCAGAGGTCCACCACCACAACCGCCTGTTCAGAAAGCAGCCATGCCTTCGGTGAGTACTCAATTTTCATTTTAAAAGTTGAACATCCACCGCAGACAAAGCGAAGGGTGTTTAAGTTAGTTCATAATACAATTTCTTTTTATACTTTAGATTTTTCTGTGTCATAGACGGAAGGGAAGTGTGTATAATTTTTTATAGCTTTGCTGTATTCTACTTCTAAACCTGAATGCAATTTGGGTGTTCCGCAGCAAATAAATAAAACTATTTTTGGGGTCTAAATGGCGTATTTGTTTTCGCGTATTTTCAATCCAACGTTTCGGGCTATTGACAGGTCCCATGGTCACGACTGACTGAGATGGTAAAGTCATCAACCAGTTATGTCTAATATTAATGCAAACCAACCTGTTCTGAAACTTTGCTTTTAATTTACTAGTACATTCCAGTTATGCTACACGCAATTTACAAAACTAAACTAAATTAATAGTGCTGCAGTCTGACTTCTGCTTGGGATTTTTCATTAGTCAAAATACTGAATCCCAAGCTGATGGTACAGAGATACCATCTTCCCTGTATAAAATAGGATGTATTTTAATTTCAAGGGCCTCGCAGCACCTGTGTAGAAAACCAAAAGGTCCTTGCAAAGGGACCTGGGTTTTAATTTATTATTATGTAGAATAGTCATCATAATAAGTGAAAAATCCGATAGTTCTGAATTTAATTTAGTTTAATTGTAATCAAAGTAAATGAACGGAAAAGTACATAAAATGTATGTCTATTTACCTTACAGAACATAATATTAAATTCAAGAACTGTTTGCTAAGCGATAACTATTAGGCATAAATCATTGTCAGCACATTATTTCAAATCCGCAGCCGTGCGTATTTGCCTAGAAATATAGAACTTAGCAAATTTTAATGTCCATCAATAAGTCCCTCCCAGAGAAGTAAAACCTATTATAGTAGCATAAGCACACATCACGCTTATGAAGTGTTGTTATTGTTTCAACAATTCGTCGCGTTTTTAAAGTGTGGGTTGCAGTTTCATCGTCAGGAAGGAAACTTTTAAGCGTAATGCGTATACGCTAATTAGGTTGCAATGAAACGCATTTTTTCCTGCTTCCTGCGACCTTCATTGATTTGTTCGCATTTTGTATCCTTTCGCATTTGTAATATTTTTGGAACATTTGATACATTCTATAGCGGGTTATGCAAAGTTGTGGGCTCCTGTACATTTGTTCGCAAAGCATATACTTTCTGTACGTGTTTTGCTTTCATTAGCAGTTTTGTAACTTTTCTAGCCGATATCAGTATTTTTCTCATAATTGTTACTTTGGTACAATTCAGTGCAAAATGTTAAAATAAGAGAAGATGTGGCGGCAGTAAACGTGTAATATAAATATTTTACATCTTTTTATGTTACGATAATACTCTGTGTAGGAATGACGCAAAAATCAATCAATACAATCAAAATTTGTTACAATATCTCTTTTCTATATACTTAAAACTTAGATTAAAAAATTATTTACTGTAAATGCCATTGTCATTACCGATACGTAATTTGATTTTATCAGAATATTTTATTATTAATAAAGGTAACATGCAATTCTAACTTTCCTTGTTTAAATTTAAAGTCACTGTGTCTGACAGTACCTGAAGTTTATAAAATGCGACAATGATAAACTTTTTAGACAATATGATAATTGTTGAACTGACAATAGAAAAGTTAAAATTTTTGCGAAAGTATATGCCTTGCCAGTGAATGCACAGGAGCCTGTCATTTTGTATAATTTACTATGGAATGTATTCAATGTTCTGAAGGTATGAAAAATGCGAATAATTCCATTCATTATGTTGGGTGTCATCTACTCTCGTTCTCCATCGGACCCAAACAATTACTGTCAAATAAATAATACTCGACGAAATAAAAAAGAATAATTGTCGAGTGTGAAGCTTCATTCGCATCGTGCATCTTAATTTGGTCGAGTTAATACTTTATCTTATTGGGCAGTAATTGTTTCGGTGGGATGTCGGATGTAGAACAGGAGAAGTACAGGGCCAGGAACGGTGCACGTGATATACGTATATAACATTTTAAGTACGTTGTCGGTACTCAAGAACCTATATCCTCACAGAGTCGAACTCTTTTTGTTACAATGCAACCACTCTGAGGGTCGTATTCTAGAACTGTACTCAATGCTCAAGTCAGGATTTGAGTATGGTTTAAAGCACTCGAAATCATACTGAAGTCCCTGACATTAGGGTCGTATTTCCAGTGCAATCCTGACTTGAGCATTGAGTAGAGTTCTAGAATACGACCCTTAGTTACCTGGTTTTACACCGGATAACAAACCAGATCAAATTGGTCTTACCGTACTATGTTGCCAACGGTTAGCACTGTGGGCGGTAGATGAGGAGGTGCCGGTTTCGATTCCCGGTGACACCATTTTTGGAATCGAGTTTTTTATTGAAAGGTTCTGGTGTTAGTAGTTCGGAGTTTCGATGCCAGAGTACAGGGAATACCCAAGTTTCAGATCAGGTAAAATATGTGTAGATGTCAGTCATGTTTTTAACCGACTTAAAAAAAAGGAGGAGGTTCTCAATTTGACTATGTTTTTTCTTTTCGTATGTATGTTACGCTATAACTCCGGATAATTTGTGAACCGATTGTGATGATTCTTTTTTTATTGGAAAGAGGATACTTCAGAAGTGGTCCCATTTAAATTTGAAGAAAATATTCCACCTCTAAGGGTGGCAAACTAGGGGATGAATGACTTTGAGGTCAGTTTTTTTAGTATTCTCATACGTCCTGAGACTATTATTATGGTCATTATTATTATCTTAATTACCATTGAAGATAGACAGAGGTGGTAGAGAGAGATGAGTAGGCCGCAATTAACTAAATAATTGTATGTGAAAATAAAGACTCGCCTACACTGGTGGTAAAATGGAAATATCCTTAGCGGGAGCGGGAAGGCGCACCGCGCGCGCCACACGTGCGGTGAACTCTCGTCGTGGGTGGAGAATTGGTGTGGCAACCTTTGCGTTTATTTGGATTGACGTAACCTTGTGGGTTGAGTCTCATTAGGGATCTGTAAATTTATGGCTTTTTAACGCCTATAAATAAAATTCACGTGGGAGATTATTGCAGCTGCTGTTTGTTACACGATGCGATTGTAATGTTTCCAAGTAAAATACCGTACATCGAAATACGTACGATACTCCAAAGTATCGTACGTATTTCGACTGACATTTTTATTATATTATAAGTATAAACGCGCACACGACGAGTATGTAGAAGATGTATGTAATGAATGAGCGCCCAGTTATATGACGCGAAAGATTTCGCGCGGCCGCCGCGCGGTGACCGCCCGTGTACTGCCCAGTTACCACGCTTCGTACAGTCAAGAGCACGTCAAGCTTGACGTTTTGTGCTTTGGACCGTTCTTATCGTAAGCGGCGTAGAGTTGGATTTAAGTCTTAAGTGTCAAGCTTGAACCTGTACATTACTGGTGAATCTGAATTCTATTTACTAGGCAACAACATTTGCATTCCTCTGAACAATACAACCGTGCGGTCGCCGCGTAGACCTAAGACAATCAACTAATCATTTAAGTTAAAACGTAAAAGCTAAATGTATAGAGCGTATTTTGCCATGACAGTTAGATGCACGCGGTCGCTGCGTGGGCTGCCACGCGGTTCCCGCGCGGCCTGAGCGCGATGACATTCGTGTCGAATAAAGGCGCCCTGAAACTGCTGCTTTTATTCCGTTAGCAAATACCTTGACCACAAGAAAAAATGTCGTTTGATATGTAAATTTGGTGTTAATAAGAAATTGATTAGAAATTTGTGTGCTGTAATCAGCCAGATATGAAAATCTAGTACTATAAACATGTATATTCTTTATAATATAAGCCACACTCAATGCGAGTAAAAATTATTATTATCAGTACGTCAGAAAATCGGGAACCTTGTAAAAGATTTTCTAAGACGTGCGCTTTGATTGACGACCTCGGTGACCTAACGGTTTGCAATGTGGAAGCGTGTTGAGGATGTCCTGGGTGCGATTTCCGGTAGAATCAATTTGAGAAATGAATTTTTATAAATTGGTTCTGGGTTGGTGTGGGGCAGAGTTAATGCCGTTGCTCTGGTACTTATAGTGCTGGGAATTTCTTGGTTTAAAACCAGGTATTTTTTATTATAATTGTTAGTTTATAGTATATTTTTTATTCCATTGAAACTATGAAAACAGTAGCGATCGAGATGTTCGACTATAATTTTACTTTGTGACTACACTTTTGAGAATTTAAGGATTCAAGGTGAACAGAGGTCATCCGGTTCCCAAAAAGTATTTTTTTCATGATACCAAGTGTCGGGACGCAGAAGTCGCGCGCTTGGTGGTAAGCGACATAGCAGCTGCAGTGCCACTCATAGCTTTAAATCGCAAAGATCTGATGGGCACTGCCGTTGCGCCCGTCACCCTGAGGCATGAGTTGACAAGTGCCTGTAATTATAATGTAAGATATCATCATACAAAATTTTTAAGAGTTCATCGTTCACAGAACCGTCTGCTTTGTGTGGTCAAAATATTTTGCAAACGGTGGTGTGTCAACCGTGTTCGACCTTTATTTACACTTTCTTAAACTAGTTCTGAATGTAATTTTTCTTTTTATTTCTGCGTTTTTGTCGTCTTAATCAACTGGGCCAAGGAGCGTGACGCAATCGAAGTATCCGCAAAATTTATACGAATTCACTTATCTAAACCGGTTGTTTCGTTGTCTGACATAATGTTTGATTAGTCAGTTATCCGCTGACAAATATATTCGTTTTATGACTGTCTTCGAACGCGTAAGGAGTGCGAGCGTTACAGCGGTTATACACCGCGACTTTTAGCAGCGATACAAACGCGATACTGTCGCTATTCATCTACCTTTACACACGCGCGTTTGTATCGATGCAGTCGCGCGTTTGCATCGATGCAATCGCTTATAAATCCCAAGTGTAGCAATACAATCGCGCGTTTGTATCGATGCAGTCTCGCGTTTGCAGCGACGC